TAAACTAAATCTCAGTAAAAGTGAATTGATGCCACTTAACATGGCTGCAAAAAAATCCACTTTACATAACTTGCCATTTAAAATAGCACACAGTAGTTTTATTTATCTCGGGGTACATGTCACAATTAGGTTTGAAAACCTTTTTCAAGCCAACTTTGCTCCTCTCTTAACCCGTACTAAGGACGATTTGGAACGGTGGTCTTTGCTACACCTCTCCTTAGTTGCTAGAATTAACTCTATTAAAATGAATACTCTCCCTAAATTCTTATACCTCTATCAGTGCCTTCCAATATTTCTACCCAATACATTTTTCAAAAAGATCGACGGCCTAATTCTACCCTTTATATGGGACAAAAAGCCTCCTAGGATGCGAAAACAGCTCTTGCAGAGGCCCAAACCAGACGGCGGTCTAGCTCTACCAGATTTCAGATTCTATTATTGGGCCGCTAACCTTAGGATCATTCAGTACTGGTTGCAGAGCAGAGTAATATTCCCACCCCCAACTTGGCTGGAGATGGAGGCTGCCTCGTCTACACCGGCATCACTGTCTTCCCTCGCTCACTCCTCTATTACAGGCCCTTACTCCTCCTTCACCAATAATACATGTGTCAAAACAACATTGAAGATCTGGAATCAATTTAGGCGCCACTTTGGGTTTCAAACAACCTCTTCCTTGGCTCCGGTAGCCTCAAACCCAGCTTTTCCCCCATCTATGATTGATGGTGCTTTCTCAACATGGTCTAATCTCAGTATTAAAAGATTCAGAGATCTGTATACTAACAATACATTTAGTACGTTTCAACAACTATCAGCTAAATTTGGTCTCCCCAGACATCATTTTTTTAGGTTCTTACAAGTCCGGAGTTACATCCGCAGCATAGATCCAGGATTCCCCAACCTTTCTAGTGGAACACAGTTCGACACATTTCTCACCCCACTTCCTAATCAGAAAGGCACATTGTCAATAATCTATAGTCAAATTTGCTCACTACAAGCCATCTCATTAAACAATATCAAATCCTCTTGGGAGGAGGAACTGGGTGAGGAAATATCTGATGAACTATGGGAAGGGGCACTCAAAAGGGTACATAGCTCTTCTATTTGCGCTCGACACGGCCTCATCCAATGCAAACTCATTCATAGGGCCCACTGGACCAAAGCAAGACTATCAAAAATTTACAAGGATGTGAACCCTAATTGTGTTCGATGTAACCAGTCCCCTGCTAATCATGTGCACATGTTTTGGTGCTGCCCATCTCTTGTTGGTTTCTGGAAAGACATCTTTAACACACTCTCAGAATTAAGCGGCACACAGATCGAGCCAGACCCTCTCATTGCATTATTTGGAGTTTCCTTACCCACAATACAATTGACCAAAATGAATAAGGATGTAATTGCCTTTGTCACGTTGTTAGCGAGACGATTAATTTTACTTAGATGGAAATCCTCTGCAGCCCCTTCTCATGCTCTTTGGATTAAATCTATTTTGAATTGCATAAAGTTGGAGAAAATAAAACAGACACTCAATGGGTCTGTAGACAAATTTTATGCAAAGTGGGCTCCCTTCTTTTCTTATGTTAAAAGAATACATTTCCCTGCAGTTCCAGAGTGATGTATATTTATATATTGGTGATGTAAGAAGCCTGGTATGTGCATATACGACATCTCGGATGTTAAGGACGGTAATAACTGTGCTAGCTGACCTATAACAACTGGATCAAAACAGATATTCTTCCTTTTTTTTTTTTTTTTTTTTTTTTTTAAATCTTATTTATGTACTTAATGTCTATTTTTTCTTTCATGTCTGTCTCTCCATGTTTTGCTGTATCGTTGTCTTCAAATTGTTGTTCCATATTCATACCAAATAACTTTCAAGTGCAATTATTTACTAAATGCTGGTACTGAAAATTCAATAAACAAAGTATATAAAAAAAAAATAAAAAAAAAAGATTTATTATTCCACTTTGACATTACAGACTATTTCGTGTAGATCTTTGACAAAAAAAAAGACAATTAAAACAATTTTAATCCCACTTTGTAACACAAGAAAATGTGGAATATTTTCTGAAGGCACTATAAATGAATGCATCCTCAATGCCTTCCCTGAAGTAATCACTAACACGATTGGATGGGTTCCACTATATAGCTTTGACCAATCCAATCATATCAATGATGATTACATGAAGGAGGAAATTATGGACTTGGTTGGCTCAGTGCCTAAACTAGCTCTTGAGAACCCAAGGCGGGTATACCCAGCTTCCCCTCAGGCGGCAGACCGCTTCGTGAATAGATGGTATAATGTTTAAGATGAACGTCTATTGAATGGGCTAGGCCTAAACCTGCTGTATCGTGACGCTGTGTTTGCTCTTTCCCCCTCCCCCTGCTCTCTCTCTGCAGTGCAGGTCAGGACTGCTTGAGTTTCCCTGATTAGCACAGGTCAGGCCTACGGACTATTAATCCCTTCCTGTAGTAGGCTAACAGTAGGCTGGTACTGGGGTCATCTGGCTGAAAACAGCCTACATAGCCTAGCTACACCTTGTGTTAGCATGCTCATAGAGCAGATAGACCCATGTCCCTTCTCTTGAACTTCAGTCACAAATTATACAGTTAGACTCGTGCTCTTTAAAAAGTGACTGTGGATGTGGAAGTATGTTTTCAGACAGTTTACAGACTATAACAGTTGAGTAGGTAAGAGTCTGTAGACAGGAGTGCCCTCTCCTCTTCAGCTCAACAACACTGTTTACTCTGAGTTAGTAACTTACTAGTTTGGCTGTCTTATCAATGATGTCTGACTGGAATTTAGGACAGCAGAGAAAAGTGCACAGCTGCAGTCTTTGACATTCATCAGGTTGTAGCCTGATCCGTTAAAACTATGAAAACAGACCTTTGCAAAGTTGCCCTCCACCCACATAAGAAAAATACTAACGTTTACTATAGAATACTACAGTACTTACTATATAATTCTGTAGTAAACTGTAGGTATACCATGTATATTTCTATTGGTACAAGCACTGTTCATGAAACAAACTGTTCACACTCCTCTGGTTGGCAGAGAGACCATTTTGCAGGTTTAAAGCATATTTCCTGCAATTCCATACATTTTGCCATGGGATGGAGACTTTTTTTTGCCATTTTAACCCAATGAGTCGCGCCGTCGTGATTTAGGACTTCTAACCCCTTTTAAACATTGTGTGTTTGTCTATTTCTTTTGCATCCGTTGGTACCAACCATTAATCTGTGTGGTTAACGGGGGCTGAGCTAGAGTGGTGTTTGTGAGAAAAGGGTGGATCCGATGGGGCCCAGGGATGGGTCTTTTTTAGAAAAACATCTGTAGAAAAGCTGAGACTCTCACGCACGTGTAACATGTTTTGCTCTATGACACTCACAAGGTACACAAGAGTCGTTAGGTAAGGGGTTCTTCTATATAGCAGATCATAGGATATCCCAGGACATAGTGTCTATAATACTGTAATAAGCTCACAGTTGCTGTCACAAACTCCAAACTCCACACAATTGTCACAGACTAGTTGGACATTCATTTCCTACTGAGCAAACAATTTCTGTACTTACTGCATTCATATAAATTAATTTTTATCAGGTTTTTGCTTTGCCGGACCTTATTTTGTTGTTGTTGACATTTGTCAATAAAAGTCATGAATGTAACTGTTTATGTCAAATTGTTTTGTGTTCTACTTGTAGCCCTGGTTGTCCTGAAAAGAAAATGGTAAAACACTTAATTGTGAGGCTAAATATAATGACTGGACATGCAGATAAATGAAAGTTTGTCATGGGGTGCAGAGAAAATGTTGCCATTTTGAAGCTAATTTCTTATGTGTGTTCATGTGATATTTGAGTGACTAAAAAACGTTAGCTGACATGGGCTAGTTGTTCTGGACATTTCTGACAAATTATAAATAGCTCTCTAAGGTCTGCAATGACTGACATGACAAGAGGAAAACTGCTGATGGACTACCCAATGAAATTGCACCTTGTGCGTTCTACTATTACAACTTTCAGTAGTAAGTTGAAAGCCGGACTGTTCCGACCCTTTGGGTTTGGGAACCACAACTGTAGAATACTATACAGTGCATTCGGAAAGTATTCAGACCCCTTGACTTTTTCCACATTTTGTTACGTTACAGCCTTATTCTAAAATTGATGAAATAAACCATTTTCCTCATCAATCTATACACAATACCCCATAATGACAAAGCGAAAACAGGTTTTTCGATTTTCTTGCAAATTTATAAAAAAACTAAAACAGATATACCTTATTTACATAAGTATTTCTCCAGTAGGTTTCCTCAAGGAGAAAGCCTCCACTTTGATGTCAACGATAATAAAACAAAAATACTATAGTAAATACTACAGTAATGTCTACAAAAACTACAGTATACTACAGTCCGTTAAAACACTACAGTAAATACTACAGTATACTACAGTCCGCAAAAACACCACAGTACTAAATACTACAGTATAATACAATCCGTAAAAACACTACATTAAATACTTTAGTATATACTACTGTTTTTTTACTACAGTATTTATACTCTAGTAAACTGTAAATAATACAGTAAAGTCTGCAAAAACACTACAGTGAATACTATAATATTTATACCATAGTATACTATAGTATTTTTTCATGTGGATGAGACCTAAGGTAGGCCTAATTACAAATGAGTCTACTTGGATCGTGCAGAGCAGTAAAGCTTCTAGTGTAGTAGAGCTCAGAGTGTTCGTGACATCTCCATCTGAGTTAGAACTCTCCTCAGGTTGTCAGGGTTCATTGTTCATTGACACCTTCCCCTCTTGAGTGGGTTGCTCACCAAGGCAGTAATGCCAGCTGGAGAGAGAGCCATGGGGCCAGAGTTGGGCTACTGCAACATTTGCACCGTAAAACAAACTAAACTGGTAAAAACATAAGCTAAATCTGGCCCATATATTGGAAACACTGTATCCCCCCTCACCTGCTGTAGCTAGCCTGTATTTTCCCTCCAGCCTACAGGACAGATGAGGGCCAGCCCTGGGTGCTGCCCGTGGTTAAGAAGGTGGAGAAGATCATCGTAGAGGACAACAGTCTGAACCATGAGTACCTGCCCATTCTGGGTCTGCCTGAGTTTAGGTCCTCCGCATCCAAGATCGCCCTGGGAGAAGACAGCCCTGCCATCCAGGAGAATAGGGTAGGGTAGTTTATGAAGTGTGTGTGTGTGTTAGGGGGGTTGTGTTGTGTGCATGTGTGCGTGATTATGCAGATATTGAGGTGAATTTAAAGGAATGTGTTTAAATTTGTGCTGGTGCGCTACATTGCTCCTAAGTAGTTATGAAGTCGCTTATTTAGTGTCTATCCCCTACCACCTTCTCTCTCCCTCTGTCTCTCTCTCCCCCTCTCTACTGTCTCTCTCCCTCACCCTCTCCCCCCTATCTCTCTATCACTCTCTCACTCTGTCAGGTGGGAGCGGTGCAGTGTCTGGGGGGTACAGGGGCTCTGAAGATGGGGGCAGAGTTTCTCAGACGCTGGTACAACGGGAATGACAACACGAAAACACCTGTCTACGTCTCAGCGCCTACCTGGGGTACACACATGCACACAGGAACGACAACACTTAAACATCTGTCTACATCTGTGCTTGTACGGCAGATCCAGGGTTGTATGTCCTCAAATAAGATATTGACTTTGAATTTGACAGTCGTTATCTTATCTGGACCTTATACTGCTAAATTGTCCTCTTAATAGTTAATATATAGGTGATTAAGTCCAGCATGTTACTTTTTAACATCTTTGTAACAATGTCAGCTAATGTTACAAAGCAGGCCTCAAAATACACATGAAGCATTCAAAGAAAGACTCCTCTATTAGAGAAAAGTGTTGTGAAACCTCCTCTACTGTTTGTTTTTAGAGAACCACAACGCTGTGTTTGCCAACGCTGGGTTCGAGGACGTCCGTCCCTATAAGTACTGGGACGCAGAGAAGCGAGGACTGGATCTGGACGGTTTCCTAGGTGACCTGGAGGTGAGCCGCTGTGTTCTGAACTGGTAGTGTTGACATGGAGACCAGACCGCCTACCGAACTCTGAGTTTACCTCACAATAGTGAATATTGAACATCTTTACTGGTCATGTCAACGTAGAAAGTAAATTAGCTTTTTACACACTGTTGAAAGAGGATATGTTTAGCTTTCTAACGATACCAACTTGGTGCATCAACTCCCAGTACACAATATGTAATTTGTCTGTCCTGTAGTCTGTCTAACATTGACCTTTGACCCCTGTCCCAGAGTGCACCAAAGCATTCCATCTTCGTTTTGCACGCGTGCGCCCACAACCCAACCGGCACAGACCCTACACACGTAGAATGGATGCAGGTGGCTGAGGTCATGAAGGTAAGACTGTGTGTGTGTGTGTGTGTACACATTTTACTATTCTTGTGAGTACCAGACGTCCTCACAAGAATAGTAAAGTAACTAAAAAGGCTATTTGTAAAAAGGCTATTTTAGGGGTCAAGGTTTAGTGTTAGGGGTTAGGGAAAATAGGATTTTGAATGGGAATCAATTGTTGGTCCCCAAAAAGTCCTTAGAAGTATAGTAAGACAAAGCTGTTTGTGTGTACATGCGCAACTTTTTGTAACATAAAAAAAAAATTTTTTTAAACAAATACTTTCTTGTTTTGTTAATTTCTGAAGGTTTTAATCTTTCTCCTTTTTTTATTTTATTTTCTCTCTCTCCCCTTCTCTCTCTCCAGAGGAGGAAGCTGTTTGTGTTCTTTGACTCTGCGTACCAGGGCTTTGCGTCAGGCTGTCTGGATAAGGATGCCTGGGCCGTGCGCTACTTTGTCACCCAGGGCTTCGAGATGTTCTGTGCCCAGTCCTTCTCCAAGAACTTTGGCCTCTACAGTGAGACACACACTCACACACACACACACCAGTGTTAATTTTGTCAACAATAACTATGACGAAAAATACACGTCAACTACCTAATTTTTCGGACTAAACCTATGACGATAACGAGACGAGATGCCCTGGAAAATAACTATAACTTAGAAATTATGACAAGACGGGAATTCCACGTGAGACTAATGGACATTTAATTTGACATGAAGCTCCTTTTCATCTGTTTTGTCCAATTATAAGCATGCATGGATGCAGAATATTTCATGCAATCCTCTCATTGGCAGAATTGACATATTTCAGTTGCATGGTCTGATTGAGCTGATCTGCCCAGCTCTCCCACACAGCTCCCAGGTAGTCACTTCAGTCACTCGTCAATCTTCTGAACTGATGCGTAGCCAGGACGCTTGACATGTAACTAGAAACAATCATGTTTACTCTCTCTCTTACTTCCATGTAGGCTATTTTTGCTTTGATCACATCAGAAGCTCTGTTTTCCCATGGTGCTGTTATTCATTCATCTGTGTTGCTGCTCTCGCTCCGCGGTCCGCAAATTCGAGTTGCGGTTGCTTTTTTCCTATGGGAAAAACAAATGCTATTTGTTGAATATTAGGTTTACAGTAATACTTCTGGCATTTTTGGAAAGCTCAAATTCTCTCAATTTCAAGGAAACCATTGTTATTTACCCCCCTTGATGGTTATGATGGGGAGAAAATCTGAGCTGTAAATTGTTTAACCTGTAGGCTTTATAGCCTATGTGGTTCATTATGGCTGGCATTGGTTACAATCTGCCACAATATCAATGTTGCCAGTTAAGGTATAGGAGGGGATAGTAGTCCTAGCTGGACAACGCTATCTGAATGGGCACATTATGGAAGTTAGGGGTAGCCTAAATATTCATTATCTAATAGGAACAAAATGCACTGACTATTATGTGACTAAAATGTCTGTGACTAAAACTAGACTAAAATTGTCCCGAGTTTTAGTCGATTGATAATAACTAAAACTAACGGATGAAAGGACTAAAATTTGACTACGACTAAAAAGGTATTAAGACTAAAACTAAATCTAAAATAGCTACCAAAATGAACACACACACACTCACACACACACTGTAAGATTCATTGAAACATATGAAACCAATGTATTCCTACTCCTGACTTTCACACATAACACTCACACACATTTCAAATGTAAGTTATGTACATAATGCAATCTGTAAACTGCAGGGAACCCTAAATAAAGTTTATGTTTGCTGGCAGATGAGCGTGTGGGGAACCTGACTATCGTAGCTCGTGATTCTGACAACCTGAAGAGAGTTCTGTCTCAGATGGAGAAGATTGTAAGGGTAACCTGGTCCAACCCTCCCTCCCAGGGTGCAAGGCTGGTCGCCATCACACTCAACACACCTGAACTCTTTGCTGAATGGTTGGTACACACATAGTACAAAAGTAGTGTATGCACATCCAACAATTTATACATGAGTGGTCGAAACATTGAAATACAGTGCATTCGGAAAGTATTCAGACCCCTTGACTTTTTTCCACATTTTGTTACATTACAGCCTTATTCTAAAATGTATTTTAAAAATAATAATCCTCATCAATCTACGCACAATACCCCATAATGACAAAGCAAAAACTGGTTTTTAGATATTTTTGCTAAAAAATAAACTACTGAAATATCACATTTACAAAAGTATTCAGACCCTTTACTCAGTACTTTGTTGAAGTACCTTTGGCAGCGATTACAGCCTCAAGTCTTCTTGGGTATGACGCTACAAGCTTGGCAAACCTGTATTTGGGGAGTTTCTCCCATTCTTCTCTGCAGATCCTCTCAAGCTCTGTCAGGTTGGATGGCAGATATTGATATTTTCAGGTCTCTCCAGAGATGTTCGATCGGGTTCAAGTCCGGGCTTTGGCTGGGTCACTCAAGGACATTGTTCCGAAGCCACTCCTGCGTTGTCTTGGCTGTGTGCTTAGGGTTGTTGTCCTGTTGGAAGGTGAACCTTCGCCCCAGTCTGAGGTCCTGAGCGCTCTTGAGCAGGTTTTCATCAAGGATCTCTCTGTACTTTGCTCCGTTCATCTTTGCCTCGATCCTGACTAGTCTCCCAGTCACTGCCGCTGAAAAACATCCCACAGCATGATGCTGCCACCCCCATGCTTCACGTAGGGATGGTGCCAGGTTTCCTCCAGACGTGACGCTTGGCATTCAGGCCAAAGAGTTCAATCTTGGTTTCATCAAATCAAATCAAATCAAATGTATTTGTCACATGCACCGAATACACAGGTGTAGACCTTACAGTGAAATGCTTACTTACAAGCCCTTAACCAACAATGCAGTTTTAAGAAAGAATACCCCAAAAAAATCACACAAAAAAGTAACAAATAATTAAAGAGCAGCAGTAAAAATAACAATAGCGAGGCTATATACAGGGGGTACCGGTACCGAGTCAATGTGCGGGGGCACCGGTTAGTCGAGGTAATTGAGGTAATATGTACATGTAGGTAGAGTTATTAAAGTGACTATGCATAGATAATAAACAGAGAGTAGCAGCAGCGTAAAATAGTGGGGGGGTCTTATGGCTTGGGGGTAGAAGCTGTTTAGAAGCCTCTTGGACCTAGACTTGGCGCTCCGGTACCGCTTGCCGTGCGGTAGCAGAGAGAACAGTCTATGACTAGGGTGGCTGGAGTTTTTGACAATTTATAGGGCCTTCCTCTGACACCGCCTGGTATAGAGGTCCTGGATGGCAGGAAGCTTGGCCACGGTGATCAAATCAAATCAAATTTGATTTGTCACATACACGTGTTTAGCAGCTGTTATTGCGGTTGTAGCGAAATGCTTGTGTTTCTAGCTCCTACAGTGCAGTAATATCTAACAATTAATATCTAACAATTTCACAACATATACAGTGGGGGAAAAAATGTATTTAGTCAGCCACCAATTGTGCAAGTTCTCCCACTTAAAAAGATGAGAGAGGCCTGTAATTTTCATCATACGTACACGTCAACTATGACAGACAAATTGAGATTTTTTTTCTCCAGAAAATCACATTGTAGGATTTTTAATGAATTTATTTGCAAATTATGGTGGAAAATAAGTATTTGGCCAGCTACAAACAAGCAAGATTTCTGGCTCTCACAGACCTGTAACTTCTTCTTTAAGAGGCTCCTCTGTCCTCCACTCGTTACCTGTATTAATGGCACCTGTTTGAATTTGTTATCAGTATAAAAGACACCTGTCCACAACCTCAAACAGTCACACTCCAAACTCCGCTATGGCCAAGACCAAAGAGCTGTCAAAGGACACCAGAAACAAAATTGTAGACCTGCACCAGGCTTGGAATCTGCAATAGGTAAGCAGCTTGGTTTGAAGAAATCAACTGTGGGAGCAATTATTAGGAAATGGAAGACATACAAGACCACTGATAATCTCCCTCGATCTGGGGCTCCACGCAAGATCTCACCCCGTGGGGTCAAAATGATCACAAGAACGGTGAGCAAAAATCCCAGAACCACACGGGGGGGCCTAGTGAATGACCTGCAGAGAGCTGGGACCAAAGTAACAAAGCCTACCATCAGTAACACACTACGCCGCCAGGGACTCAAATCCTGCAGTGCCAGATGTGTCCCCCTGCTTAAGCCAGTACATGTCCAGGCCCGTCTGAAGTTTGCTAGAGTGCATTTGGATGATCCAGAAGAGGAATGGGAGAATGTCATATGGTCAGATTAAACCAAAATATAACTTTTTGGTAAAAACTCAACTCGTCGTGTTTGGAGGACAAAGAATGCTGAGTTGCATCCAAAGAACACCATACCTACTGTGAAGCATGGGGGTGGAAACATCATGCTTTGGAGCTGTTTTTCTGCAAAGGGACCAGGACGACTGATCCATGTAAAGGAAAGAATGAATGGGGCCATGTATCGTGATATTTTTAGTGAAAACCTCCTTCCATCAGCAAGGGCATTGAAGATGAAACGTGGCTGGGTCTTTCAGCATGACAATGATCCCAAACACACCGCCCGGGCAACGAAGGAGTGGCTTCGTAAGAAGCATTTCAAGTATTGAGAAACTTTTGTTATTGACCAAATACTTATTTTCCACCATAATTTGCAAATAAATTCATTAAAAATCCTACAATGTGATTTTCTGGATTTTTTCCCCTCATTTTGTCTGTCATAGTTGACGTGTACCTATGATGAAAATTACAGGCCTCTCTCATCTTTTTAAGTGGGAGAACTTGCACAATTGGTGGCTGACTAAATACTTTTTTCCCCCACTGTACACAATACACACAAATCTAAGTAAGGAATGGAATTTAAGAATATATACAGTGAGGGAAAAAAGTATTTGATCCCCTGCTGATTTTGTACGTTTGCCCACTGACAAAGAAATCAGTCTATAATTTTAATGGTATATAATGTAAAAAAATAATACATAAAAAAACAAAATACCACCCCCCGTGGGTAAGAGGGTCTGGTTGGTGTCGGCCATTGTCTTGGCTGAAATGAGGCCTTTGATCCTCACCCAGGGAGAGTCATGACAGAGTCTTAAGGTGCCTTTTGGCTAACTCCAAGCAGGCTGTCATGTGCCTTTTACTGAGGAGTGGCTTTCGTCTGGCTACTCTACCATAAAGGCCTGATTGGTGGAGTGCTGCAGAGATGTTTGTCCTTCTGGAAGATTCTCCCATCTCCACAGAGGAACTCTGGAGGTCTGTCAGAGTCACCATCGGTTTCTTGGTCACCTCCCTGACCAAGGCCCTTCTCCCCCGATTGCTCAGTTTGGCCGGGCGGCCAGCTCTAGGAAAAGTCTTGATGGTTCCAAACTTATTCCATTTAAGAATGATGAAGGCGACTGTGTTCTTGGGGACCTTCAATGCTGCAGACATTGTTTGGTACCCTTCCTCAGATCTGTGCCTCAACATAATCCTGTCCCGGAGCGCTACGGACAATTCCTTCAACCTCATGGCTTTGTTTTTGCTCTGACATGCACTGTCAACTGTGGGACCTTATATAGACAGCTGTGTGCCTTTCCAAATCATGTCCAATCAATTGAATTTACCACAGGTGGACTCCAATCAAGTTGTGGAAACATCTCAAGGATGATCAATGGAAACAGGTCAGATGCACCTGAGCTCAATTTCGAATCTCATAGCAAAGGGTCTGAATACTTATGTAAATAAGGTTTTTTTATTTAATCAATTTTAGATTAAGGCTGTAACGTAACAAAATGTGGGAAAAGTCGAGGGGTCTGAATACTTTCCGAATGCACTGTATATCCTCTCTTCCTCCCTTTTCTCTGTCTATCCCTGTCTCTCTGTCTATCCCTGTCTCTCTGTCTGTCTCTCTGTCTATCCCTGTCTCTCTGTCTGTCTCTCTGTCTATCCCTGTCTCTCTGTCTATCCCTGTCTCTCTGTCTGTCTCTCTGTCTATCCCTGTCTCTCTGTCTATCCCTGTCTATCCCCGTCTCTCTGTCTATCCCTGTCTTTCTCTCTCTCTCTCTCTCTCTGTCTCTGTCTCTGTCTCTGTCTCTGTCTCTGTCTCTCTCTCTCTCTCTCTCTCTCTGTCTCCCTGTTGTAGGAAGGATAATGTGAAGACCATGGCAGACCGTGTGTTGTTGATGAGGGCTTCACTCCAGGCTAAACTGCAGGCTCTGGGAACACCAGGAACATGGGACCACATCACACAGCAGATCGGCATGTTCAGCTTCACTGGCCTCAACCGTGAGCACACACACACACACACACACACACACACACACACACACACACACACACACACACACACACACACACACACACACACACACACACACACACACACACACACACACACACACACACAAATGAATGCAAACAAATTCATACCTCTCTTTTCCTCTCTAGTCTTAAACACACACACATACACTCCCCACCCAGCTATGTTTAGCTTCACCAGTCCCCTGACGACATCCTCATTAGTGTGTGTGAAGTAATTTAAGTAAATTCCTGGATAAACATTAAACTCCTCTGTGCTGTGCTTTCTTCCTGGGAGCTTCAAAAAGCTGTTAGAACCAGGAAACAGCTTCCCAGCGGAGGGCACTGACGCTAGAGGCTCACTGATGCCTTAACTGGACAGTGGGGGAACCAGTTCTACTCAATACACATTTACACAGCACACTGGCACATAAATATCCTCTCTTCTGTTTTCACTCTTCTTTGTTTTTTCACTCTCTTTCTCTAACTCTCTTTTCACACCGATTAGTATATTGTACGTTCTGAAAATATAATATTTTCTCTAAATGTTATGAGGTCAAGCCTGCTTTCCAGATGCAGCCTGTAAACTGCAGGCCTGTCATTAACTAGTCCCCGACTAAACTATCCCCAGATTAAACTTTCCATTCAAATCTCGAAGGTTCCGTCAGGGGCTAGTTTAGTAGCCCGTAACTTCAGTTGGATGCGTAAGAATTTAAAAAAAATAAAAAATAACTGTAAGTCGCTCTGGATAAGAGCGTCTGCTAAATGACTAAAATGTAAAATGTAAAATGTAAATGTGTCTTGGGAGATGCTGGAGGGGGCCAATCTTAAAAACAGCTTTTATTTTCTTTATTTTCTAATGAAGAAACATTTCTGTAGACTCTATTTCTGTGTGCAGTGCAAACAGTGTTCAACTTGACATATTTTATTGCTCCCAATTAATGCAGCATGTAGCTAGCTAGCAATGTGAAAAATTTGAAAAATGTGGGCAGAGTATGCAAAGACAGTACGAATTTGATGTGGATTACTTCAGCAAAAGACTGGACCTGTTTGCACCCAAAGGTAAGACAAGCGGTATTACGTGATGTTCATACCTTTTAATATTTTCTCTCCCTCTCTCTCTCCAGCTAAACAAGTGCAGTACATGATCAAGGAGAGGAGTATCTACCTGATGGCCAGCGGTCGTATCAACATGTGTGGTCTGACCACTAAGAACATCGACTATGTGGCAGAGTCTATCCACGAGACTGTTGTCAACGTCCAGTAGAAGACTACACTACCCTCCAGCCCCCCACCAGCAGTGTGTGTGTATAATGTATTGGACCAAACATACATAATAAGCCCCATTCCCAACTCCCAGCACACCAGCCTACGCTGGGCCTATAATGTCACTGGCTGTCTATAGATACATTATATGTGAACACTTAAATGAATGCACAAGGCAACGTAACGGTTAAAGAGAAGTGTTAATGATTTGTCTGTGTGTGTATCATCCCTGTTTGTCATCACTGCTGCTTGCAGTAGATTGTGGTTTAATTTAATTTGTATTGTTTTTGTTCAGTAGTCCTGTTTAATGAATAAGCACTGTGTGTCAGGGCATTTTAGCTGCTGTGTGGTTCCACACTAAGGCACTAGCTGGCTGTGTCTTAATAATCGGAAATGGCTTCCTTTCCTAATCTCCTTCATTACAACTGATGTTCCTTCCACCTGTCATGTCCACCCAGATCAGTGATCATGGAGGGATGGACACAAGGAAAGGAGATTTGGAAAATAAGCTATAGTGTTTAAACTATTGAGACACAGCCCCAGTGTATCTGGATGTATTTTTTGTTGTTTTTGTATTAGGACTAGCTCCAGCAGTGCTGGTGATGATGATCTTCCATTGCTTATTAATATGATTAACATTATCTTGTGATTAGTATTGTTTGGGTTGTTGAATTGCGGTGGGATGTGGGCCTGGCATTTAGGAAAAAAATTACCTCCATTTTATTTAAAGCTGCAGTAGTAACGTTTTGGGCGATCCGACCAAATTCATGTAGAATTGTGAGTTATAGATTTGGCATTCTCATTGAAAGCAAGTCTAAGAGCAGTAGATCTGTTCTATGTGCACTATTTCTATGCTTCCCGTTCTTAAGTTTAGTTTTTGCATCTTTTACTTTTGGTTTTGTACACCAGTTTCAAACAGCTGAAAATACAAATATATTTTGTTATGGAAAAGATATCGCAAAGCGGTTTATATGGTAAAATGACTCTCTACTCTATACTTGCTTGTTTTGTCACAAACTGAAATTAGGCAAACTATTAGAATGTTAGCAACCAGGAAATGGCGGAACGATTTCTGCATATTGCACCTTTAATTGTATTTGGGAACTATCAGGTGCATTACAGAAGAACGTTTCAAAGAAAAAAGGAATGCCACCGCAATTCAAGAACGACCCGTTTTTATGCGGATTTCATTCCAACTGTGAAAGGCACATTCCCTGTTCTGTTTGACTTACCCACCTGCATAATTTATAGAAGTTGTTTGGGTCCACTTGAAAGAGAAGCTAAATATTAACTGTGACCAAGTAATCAGTGCTTGACTTGAAAGCATACAAAAAGTACTAGAGTGAAAAACAATCAATTGACCAAATCAGTCATGCACTAAATGTATGTGGGATAGATGGCTATGTAATAAGGATGCTAATATTGAACTTGAACTATGGATGTTCTAGTTACAATCATGTTTATTTTGGCCCAAGAAGTAAAAATAATGTATGATTACCCCAGACTTAAGCTGTGTAGCTCTCTGTTGAAATTGACGCTCAAGGTCCTGGGTTGCGTTCAATAGGGACAAACAGGACTGTTCTCAATCAGAGAGCAACAATCCCTGTTATTTTTCTTTCAACATTTGAAAGAAGGGTCTGCTCAATGTGAATGTCCAATCAGTCTGTTCTGGCGCGGTCGCTCTCTGTAGCACTATTATTGCACTATTATCAATATCTACCATCTCAATGGTATACATGTATTGTTCAAAATTGCACAAATCAAATGCACTTACAGATACTGTGAATACCTATGTATCTCAAGGGGGTATGACTCAAATCCTTGAATAAATGTCTGCACACCACAATATAATGTCAGTTCTTTCATTCTGAGAGCCAGGATAGAAAATATATTTTGTTTGTGCAAGTTGTCTCTTTTGTGTGTGTTTCTCATGACATTGAGGATCAAAGTGCAGAAAGCCAAGAACACTGTCAATACACAAATGGAGTTCAGAATAACAAGTCAGATATTAATCTGTTAGAATCTTTTTATTGAGGAGTTAATCGTTTTTTAAAAACATTGGGAGGTCTGATATCCTGAAAACCCTGATATTCTGAAGATGAAACAATCTTTCCCCTTACATATCCTCCTGTCCCTTATAATCTATATAAAAGCTATCTCTATCTACTATATCTCTGTCACCCTCACCAAATGTCTTCTCTGAGAGCATGAGACAGAGAGCGCTTGGTTTCTTAGTTCTTTGATTTCAACAGCTCAGCTACTGTATTTGTCGGGTCATAAGGGATCCTGTGTGTGTGCATGCGTGTGTGTGTGTGTGTGTGTGTGTCCTTGTGTAAAGCAGTTCAGTGCTGTATGTGTGTGTGTGTGTGTGTGGGGGGGGGGGGTGTCCTTGTGTAAAGCAGTTCAGTGCTGTGTGTGTGTGGGGTGTCCTTGTGTAAAGCAGTTCAGTGCTGTATGCGTGTGTGTGAGGGGGGGTGTTCTGTGTAAAGCAGTTCAGTGCTGTGCGTGTTTGTGTGTGTGTGTGTGTGGGGGGGGGGGGGTGTCCTTGTGTAAAGCAGTTCAGTGCTGTATGCATGTGTGTGTTTGTGTATGTGTGTGTGGGGGGGGTGTCCTTGTGTAAAGCAGTTCAGTGCTGTATGCATGTGTGTGTTTCTGTATGTGTGGGGGGGGTGTCCTTGTGTAAAGCAGTTCAGTGCTGTATGCGTGTGTTTGCGTGCGTCAACGAAGGCAGTGGCTTGACGTCAGACTGCGTCACGTCTCCTCCCACCTTCCGTGCAGTGCTCACTTTCCATTCTGTCTCTCCTTTCCTCCCTCCCCCTCTCTTTCCCTCCCTTTCTTCTTCCCTCCCACTCACCCTCTATGCTCTCAGTAAATCAGTCATCTGTCAGTATTGTGCAATAAAGAGCAACTCACTAAGCCCAGCCTAATAGCAGCTAACCAATAGGGAATAGTGATGGTCCCAGGCAGGTTCTAGGGAATTATTATTGCTACAGATTAATAGGACAAAGCCCATTGTCTGACCACCTATATAATAAAGGGCACTATAAAACTTAATCTCTCTCTGTACATCTTTTCATCTCTAACTATGAACCCCTGTGTACATTGGCATACATTCCTATAAAACAGTATGCATCTTTTCATCTGTGCCTGGCTGACTTTGCAGGGGTGTCTGTCCTTGAGCATGTTACACTATCATGATGCTCTAACTATATTCTGTGCAGCTGTCAGCTAATATTAGACTCAGGTATTTTTTTCTCATGCTTATGTATTGCTTATCAGATTTCTATACACTACAACCCCCCCATCAAACTACATCTCACAGGTTTGCGTCATGCTCCTGTCTGTGTCAAGCTGAGTACCTAGCCCAAGGCGTTATCCTTAAATAGGGACATATTCTACTGGGAAAGCAGTAAGCAGTGCCCTCCATACACCCAGCTCCTGTGTCACTGTAAAAACCCAACACCCCTAACCCCCTGGCTCCTGTAGCCGCAGCCTCTCATCCCAGAAGCTAAGCCCCCAGCCCCCTGTGTTCCTATGCCCTTGTGTGTCCCTGGAGGGGTCTCTTCAAAGAGAATTGTTAACCTGTTGTGTTTGCATCTGTAGTAATGTCATGCATGTGGGAGTAACACTTCACTTCATCATGGGGCTATACACAGATAGGGTGTTACAACTGTTACCTACTGAAATATCACACTTATGGTGACTGCTTTCTGTGGTGGTGATATGGAGATGGCACATTTAGTGTGTCTATCTACATTATGATGATAAAGGAGATGATATGGCAGGCAGGAGTGACAGGAGGTTTTCTAGGTACATGCTGTTTAAACAACCTATTCATTACAGATAAAACCAATGAATCACCATATTATAAATCAAATAATCAAATCTGATCACCAAATCATCATAAATATATAAAATCATCATATTATCAAATCATAATAAAATACCTGTTCAAATCTAGGTAACACGTAACGTGCGTTTTTGGGATTGTGAATATTGCATATCCCTTGTTTAAGGTGGCAGGTTTGTTGGAGCTCCGTTTGTTAGTTACTATATGGCTTTTTCACTAAGTTTATGTGTGTGTGTGTTTGTGTTTTTGCTTGAGACTAGACTGTTGGTGCATTTCTTTTTTTTTTATCATCCAGTGGCCACATGGGATAAAGAAACGACAGTGGTTGTAGACATTGTGCTTGTTCTCATGGCTGGTGTGTGTTGGCTGTTTCTTCCTTTTGTGTTATCAGAACACTGGCAGTGTGGAAGGCATTAATATGGCAGGACTCCTATCAACCACAGTTGACTGACTGATAGAAGTACTCTATTCTATAATAAGAACAGTTCCTTGTGCAGAAAGCACTTGGCAATAAGAAACTGTCTGATGGTAGAATACAGAAAGTGTTGTCTTCTTGGTTGTGCAATAAAAAAGATGTCTCAGATCTAAACCTCTTATTATTCTCTTCATTTAGTTTCTTCTGCCTCCTCTTCAGACTCTTCTAGCACAGTAGAGATGGGTGGATGAAAGGTAACTCAACAGAAACACACAGTAAAGTACATCAATTAATTAAAGTCATAATGTTTCAGTAGTCTGTTACCCAGCTAGCCTGGAAACCCGACATTGAATTTCATTGAATTCTACATCTGGCAGAAATGAGCATTTGGTTCAGGAACGTTTCCTCTCACAACCTCTACAAGCCAGAATGTTGAATAAAATGATATTTTAACTTTACCGGTTGTCAATGCGGTTGGTCCTTTTGCTGTCAGGAATGTGAAACAATATATACATCAACTTTTCAAAGTGTTGCTAGTGCATTCAGATTTCTTAGGGTTGGGACTGGGGAGTGGACAGAGGTTATCCAGGGTTAGGGTTGGGTCTGCGGAGTGGACAGAGGGTATACAGAGGCTATGGTTGGGTCTGGGGAGTGGACAGAGGGTATCCAGGGTTTATGTTTGGGTCTGGGGAGTGGACAGAGGGTATCCAGGGGTAGGGTTGGGTCTGGGGAGTGGATAGAGGGTATCCAGGGTTAGAGTTGGGTCTGGGGAGTGGACAGAGGGTATCCAGGGTTAGAGTTGGGTCTGGGGAGTGGACAGAGGGTATCCAGGGTTAGGGTTGGGTCTGGGGAGTGGACAGAGGGTATCCAGGGTTAGGGTTGGGTCTGGGAGTGGACAGAGAGTATCCAGGGTTTAGGGTTGGGTCTGGGGAGTGGACAGAGGGTATCCAGGGTTAGGGTTGGGTCTGGGAGTGGACAGAGAGTATCCAGGGTTAGGGTTGGGTCTGGGGGAGTGGACAGAGGGTATCCAGGGGTTAGGGTTGGGTCTGGGGAGTGGACCGTTCAGAGAGAGATCTTGAGGTTCTGGACGTCTATTGACAAATACCAGAGTCTGGTCCCAACCAAACCTCTAACCCAGTTCCCAGTGGGTAGGAGACAGAGGGGGGGAAGTGAGAGAGAAACAGAGCCAGTCTATTCTCTATCTTTCTCTGTGCTAGGTCTTCTCTGCTGTCTCTTCTCTATCTGGCATTGTTCTAGGTGGTCACAGATGGCTGCTCCACACTCTTCTCACCATCCCGGGACTTTTTCCTCTTCTTGTTACCTGGAAGGATAGAACACAGTGTCAAGTTCAAGTTTCAAGTTCAAGTTTTACTATTAGTTGTATGTACAGGATACACATGGTATACACCGTCCAACAAAATACTTACTTGCAGGTTCCTTCTCGACAATGCAACAACAATAAGAAATAATAAAAGATAAGAATACGAATATATACGAACAATCTCTGCACATGACAAATAACATTTTTATTTACAATTGAAACATAAAATATCAGTTTTGTTTGATTGAAGATAACAATTTTGTTATCCTGTCATTTCAGAGACCCATTAGCTTATTTGTGTTTACACATTATATATTAGACTCTCTGGAGGAAGGTGTGATGCAGCAAGAGATAGAACACAAAAGTTATGTTGCTATGGTACGCCTGCCGTCACTAGTCTGGCTGACTGTTGGGGCCCACACAGTGTTCAGGTGAGGAAGGTGTGTATGTGCGTCTGTGTGTGTGTGTGTGTGTGTGTGTGTGTGTGTGTGTGTGTGTGTGTGTGTGTGTGTGTGTGTGCGTGTGCGTGTGCGTGTGCGTGTGTGGTGGATGGTGGGGTGGGGGACAGTTGAGCAGAATTAAAAGAATAATTAATCAAATGTAGAATGTGGGGAGGAAAAGCTGATCCTAGATCACTCACTCACTCAGTTTACGTAGCAGCTTCTTCCCAAGTGTCTCCTCTGAGCCAGATAGAGAACAGATGATATCTGACTCCACAGGAACAGCATCTAGGCAGGAGAGCGAGAGGATGAGAGTGAATGAGAGTGAGAGTGGGCAAGGGAGTAAGAGCGTTGGCAAGAGAGAGTGTGTGGGTGAGAGAGAGAGAGAGGGTGAGTAGAGAAATGAGAAGAGCATTGACAAAGCCCAATATAAAATCCACTGCAACCTACAAGACTATAAATAAACGCTATTAATTATGCAAACCATGGCCAAGGTACTGTTCTAGACAATGTTTCCATGGGAGGATTGTTTAAACTTCACTAGACTTGTGAGGACTAAATAATATTACCACTCATGTATATAGCAGCTATAACGGCTTACAACTCTCTCCCTTCTCTCCTCACCATTCCCTTCTTGGCTTTCCAGTTGGTCTTCCGGAATTTCTACCAGCTGGCCTTCTGGACGTTCTATTAGCCAGTTTTCCGGCCGGTCTTCCAGCCGGTCTTTCAGACGGCCTTCGGGACAGTCTTCCGGGCGGTCTTCTGGACGGTCTTCCGTTCTATCTTCCGGGAGGTCTTCCGGTCTCTCCTCTAGTCGCTTATCTGGGTGGTCTTCCTGACAATCTTTCAGTCGGTCCTCTTGGATGTAGGGTATGTCATCCATCCGTAGGAACACTGAATCACTGGGACTCCTCTGTCCGTCTGACTTACTGCCTGAGAGGGAGACAGAGTACCATGGTCACAATCAGGACAGAGGCTGCATCTCAGTGAAGCGGTAGCCTGTTTTCAGTCTCAAAACCTCCCTTCTGTGCATAGAAGTGTAGATCTGAAAGAACCAGATCCATGTCCCATTATCTGCAAAGTGAGGTATTGAGAACCAGGGAAGGGGCTAGAGATGGTTATCATGCTGGGCACATGTCTGCATCATGATCAATTCCACCCCTGGTTTAACTCAATAACCGAGAGGACTGACCACTGATTCAAAGAGAGAGACCATAGACTTAGGAGGGCAAGTTAGAGGTTCATGCATGCATACACACACATACATGCATACTCACAAGCATTGTGAGATAAACCCAACCTGATTGGTTTCAGGGCTTACATGATTTTCCAGATACCATCTGGACTGTGCTGACTGGCATGTCACTCTATGGTGTGTGTGTGTGTGTGTGTGTTGTGTGTGTTCAACTGAAGCAAGAGTCTATTTCAGATTAATCTCCCCTTGGAAGTAAATACTAACAACTGATCAACAAAATGTAGCTATTTATGCCTCAAACTCTCTGTCTCTTTTAGCCTTCTAATCACATCTATTTCCATCTGTGTGTCATTTTTTTCAAAGACTCTTTAACGCCATCTGTTTGCCATGGTGGTTATGTAACCCCCCCCCCACACACACACACACACACACACACACACACAAACACACACACTTACGGACGATGCGGTTCCTCTCGTTGAGCTGTGAGGTGAGTGGTCCAGTGTTGTCCTCTGTGTGTGTGTGTCGTTCCAGGACAGGTCGAAGGTGTGTGTATGTGTGTGTCAGGGGCAGGGCGATGCTGTGGGAGCGGGTCTCAGGGATGGTGGGTCTCCCGTCGGGATCGGGGGTCTGGGGTACACTGTCCATAAGACTGGCTGTTAGAGCATTCTGGTAGTGGTTCCTCGAGATCTAGCAAAGAATAACACACACCACAAATACAGTATCAACACAAAATCATCAACACACACACCGCAAATAAAGTATCAACACAAAATCATCAACACACACCGAAAATAAAGTATCAACACAAAATCATCAACACACACCGCAAATAAAGTATCAACACAAAATCATCAACACACACCGCAAATAAAGTATCAACACAAAATCATCAACATACACCGCAAATAAAGTAACACAAAATCATCAACACACACCGCAAATAAAGTATCAACACAAAATTATCAACACACACAGCAAATACACATGCATGCCACACACCATCAAGCTGTTTCTCTATGTAAACATAAAGGTTACGGTTGGTGTGTGCTAGCAACCTTCTTCCTGGAACTATATTTATGACCTTGGGGGGGATATGAGGGAGTGTGTACTTAGGATGTACATCCATCACTTTAAGTCTAAATTATTCATACTGAAAATGGAGCTCATTTATCCCCAATGATTAAAGCTAAGACAGAGAGAGTTTAAAAGGAAAAAGAGGGAGGGAGGGAAGGAGAGAGAGAGAGGGATTGGAGGGAGAGGAAGAGAGGACGTGTCTGTGTTTATTCAAAATCAGGGATTAAGACATTTCAAAGGAAATGGAAAATAGTATTTTAGGGGTATTTTAAATGTGTGTGTGCATGCGTACCTTTATAATCTGTAGGTCAGTGAGTTGTCTGACAGAGAAGTCAGGTAGGTAGACTGCTCCCCCTCCTATACTCAGCTGACCCACACTGCCTCCTGATAGGACAGACTCTGACTGGTTCAACCCACTGCTACCAGAACCAAACCTGTTGACTGAAGATGAGTTTGATTAGATTCTGTCCTCTTAATTTGGGTTTAAAAAACCCGCTCCAGACCACACTAGATAGAAAGCATTTAGAAATTATAAAGTATTCAAATAACTGCCCTTTTTCTGGCCCATAAATTGATTTTGACTAGGGTTGGGTAGGTTACTTTCTAAATGTAATCTGTTATAGTTACTAGTCCAACATTCTTATCAGTAACGTAACTTTTGGATTACCCAAACTCAGTAACGTAATCTGATTACTTTCAGTTATATTTGGATTACTTTCCCATTAAGAGGCATTAGAAGAAGACAAAAAGGATCCATCAAACACATTTGGTGTGTCATCATAGTGGTCTCTGACTTGTGGTCAGACTCGCTCAGGTGGAAAAAAAACTTGAACTTGCACCATTTTTCAATGCTGAATTGAATGTCATTGAGAAAAACAGAAAGGTGTCTTAATTTTGTTTTCTTTCGCAAACATCCTTTCTAAAGTAATCCAGGAAGTAATCATCTAGTATTTCCAAAAGTATCTGTAATCCTATTACAATATTTCTGCTGGTAACATAACCGATTACAGTTACAGTTTTTTGTAGTCAGATAACATGTACCTGATAACATGTAATCAGTTACTCCCCAACCCTGATTTTGACAAATAAATCGGTCCCCAAAAACTCTATGGGGACCTTGCCCACCCCTGACGTACACACACACACACACACACACGCGCTCACGTGCACGTCACTGGGCTGGCCCTCTTGTGTCTGCTTATCAGTGGAAACTGGCTTTAATTGCTGCAGTTACATAGTTTCCACTGCAGCAATCTTCTCCCACAGATTAAAAAGAAAATGAATAATGGATTTTGCACACATACAGTGCCTTCAGAAAGTATTCACAGCCCTTGACTTTTTCCACATTTTTGTTGTGTTATAAAGTGGGATTAAAATGGATTGAATTGTCTTTTTCTATCAAAGGTCTACAAAAAATACTCTGTAATGTTAAAGTGGAAGTTTTCTTTTTTTCATTAATGGAAAATAAACACTAATATATTTTGATTAGATAAGTATTCAACCCCCTGAGTCAATACATGTTGGAATCACCTTTGGCAGTGATTACAGCTGTGAGTCTTTCTGGGTAAGTCTCTAAGAGCTTTCAACACCTGGATTGCGCAATATTTGCCCATTATTATTTTCAGAATTCTTCAAATTCTTCAAATTGGTTGTTGATTATTGCTAGACAACCATTTTCAGGTCTTGCCATAGATTTTCAAGCAGATTTAAGTCAAAACTGTTACTCAACCACTCAGGAACATTCACTGTCTTCTTGGTGTAGATTTGGCCTTGTGCTTTAGGTTATTGCCCTGCTGAAAGCTGAATTCATCTCCCAATGTCTGGTGGAAAGCAGACTGAACCAGATTTCCTATAGGATTTTGCCTGTGCTTAGCTCCATTTCATTTCTTTTTTATCCTGAAAAACTCCCCAGTCCTTAATGATTACAAGCATACCTATAACATGATGCAGCCACCACTATGCTTGAAAATATGGAGAGCGGTACTCAGTAATGTGTTGTATTGGATTTGCCCCAAACATCATAATAATAATAACAATAATAATAATAATCATAATCATAATATATGCCATTTAGCAGACACTTTTAGCCAAAGTGTCTTACACTCATGCGTGCATACATTTTACGTATGGGTGGCCCCAGCGGGAATCGAAACCACTAAACACTTTGTATTCAGTACAAAATATGAATTGCTTTGCCACATGTTTTGCAGTATTACTTTAGTGCATTGTTGCAAACAGGATGCATGTTTTGGAATATGTGTATTCTGTACAGGCTTCCTTCTTTTCACTCTGTCAATTAGCTTAGTATTATGGAGTAACTACAATGTTGTTGATCCATCCTCAGTTTTCTCCTATCACAGCCATTAAACTCTGTAACTGTTTTAAAGTCACCATTGGCCTCATGATGAAATCCCTAAGCGGTTTCCTTCCCCTCTGGCAACTGAGTTAGGATGAACGCCTGTATCTTTGTAGTGACTGGGTGTATTGATCCACCATCCAAAGTGTAATTAATAACTTCACCATGCTCAAAGGGATATTCAATGTTTATTTTATTTTATTATCCATCTACCAATAGGTGCCCTTCTTTGTGAGGCATTGGAAAACCTCCCTGGTCTTTGTGGTTGAATCTGTGCTTGAAATTCACTGCTCGACTGAGAGACCTTACAGATAATTGTATGTGTAGGGTACAGAGATGGGGTAAACATTATTATTGCCTCGACACAATCCTGTCTCAGAGCACTACAGACATTTCCTTCGACCTCATGGCTTTGTTTTTGCCCTGGCGTGCACTGTCAACTGTGGGACCTTATATAGACAGGTGTGTGCCTTTCGAAATCATGTCCAATTAGTTGAATTTACCGCAGTTGTAGAAACATCTCAAGGATGATCAATGGAAACAGGACGTAAATAAGGTATTTGTTTTTATTTTTAATACCTTTGCAAACATTTATAAAAACCTGTTTTCACTTTGTCATTATGGGGTATTGTGGGTAGATTGATGAGGAAAACATTTAATTTAATCCATTTTAGAATAAGGCTGTAACGTAACAAAATGTGGAAGAAGTGAAGGGGTCTGAATACATTTCCCGAATGCACTGTAGGCCTATCAGAGTTGCCTACCATTAAAAACAATGGAGAAAATGCATTCCATAACACTTTAATATAGAAATAGCTGTTCTATCATTCAGCCTACAGTAGCAGCCAATGTGTGGTGTTCAATGTAGGCCTACATTCCATGAGACATTGAAAAAAAACTTGCAGGGCTTGACATTAACCTGTTTATCCACTTGTCCTTCAGACAAGGAGGTGACTGAACATTTTGTTGGGTTGTTTGATGCAAGAAACCACTTTACAAAATAAAATGCATCATTATTCCCATACCATTATTACAGAGAATCAAATTATGCTCCCCTCTGCCTATTGGCTACTTAGCTTATTCAAGCCTGTCTCAAAATACAACACTGCCCCTTTAAGCCAAATAAAATGCTCTTTACCTGACTAGCTTTTCAAAGATGTCTAGAAATGTATATGTTTTGTGCTCTTGTAGGACGCAATCACTCCCCTATTGCTGACTACAAATTATCTATAACTGGGCTAATAACTCACTAACTAGCAAAGGATATGAACAAAATGTGCACACGTGGCTACATGCAGCTCTCACTTTGATCTCAAAACAAGCGCATCTACTCACGACCTCTCATGCTGTAAACACAGTCCAGTTCAAAGTAAATGGCACATATCCATATATGGCAATGGTCTATTTGCATATAGGCCTACTGCAGCTCTGATTGTTTATGCCACATCAGTCTGTGTAGAGTATGGGCTGAGTAGTGCCTGTCAATGCAATAGAATCCTACTCCGATGCGTTCTGCCTACAACAAAATATTTTGCATAGCGTTTTGTTTCGGTGTGTTGCATTGGAAGTGGCTAAAATTGCCTTGATTCGATCACAATTGCCACAGTAAAGGGAAACGTTGATAGTGTTAACAGGGATAACTCTAGAAGAGTGGTCACAAACCTTTTCTGAGTCAAAAGTTAAATATTCCTCGATATTAAAAAAGACCCAAGTCGCTAATAATAACAACAACGCAAGCCTATAGATACACTTTCCTACTCATTCATTACTGCTGCAGTGCTTGTTGTAGCGCTGAGTGGAAATAGGAAGAACGCACATTTTATGGCTTCTAAAAGTGTTGAATACAAAGTGTTGACAGTGCTGAGTAAGAACTTAAACATGAACTCAATCATAAAAACATAATCTCTTTGCTGTATTCGTTGACAGTCTCTTTCTAGTCATGGTTTTAAACGTTGTGAAATCTCACAGTATCAACTTTGCTGTAGCTTTCTTTTATGCCTGCTACGTTACTGCAGACACGGTCATCTGAGCCATCCAATTGGCCAGCGGTAGGCCTATAGTGCACTTGATTTGCTCTCTGGGCCCACTGGGAAGGCAGAGTTTGAAAATAGGAACACAAGGCTTTATCGTTGGGTTTTTTATAGAAATGTTCGGCGATCGACCGGTTGGTGATGACCACTGCTCTAGAAAGTTGAGTGAAGTTCAATCTCGTGCTTCTCTCTGTGGGCTGATATTTCTGTGTGGCAGTCCCACCGCATGCATGCAGCTTAGAGGGAACATTGCCAAGACATTTCAGTTTGTCCTATTAATTAATTTGTAAAAATGTCTAAAAGCAGAATTCCACTTTGACATTATGGGGTATTGTGTGTAGGCCAGTGACACAAAATCTCGATTTAATCAGTTTTAAATTCAGGCTGTAACACAACAAAATGTGGAAAAAGTTGAGGGGTGTGAATACTTTCAAAAGGCACTGTAACATAGAAAAGTGGTGATACTGCAGCATTTAGAAACGGGAAAGCTGGGGTAAGAATTTATTTTTCGAGGACAATAAATCCGCTTCATCACCATCATCATCATTATAATCAACAACATCATAATCACTAACACCCACTGTTAAAATCCCATTGTGTGTCGTTGGGGCCGGCGGTGTATTTACCTATAGGTAGTGGTGGTATGAGGGCTGGCATGCCATAGTAGGAGAAAGCTCCGTTCTCAAAACGAAGAGCCTCTTTACCAATCTCCACCTCCACTTTACCCTGCAATGACATAACACACAGACAGACTATTAAACACCAAAGTTTCCATAGATTTCCAATATGTAACTTTGGTGAATTACCGGTAGTCTTTCAACCCTAGTTGTGTACCTGTAGAACCAGGACAGTGTAGTATCAGTGTGTATGGTGTGTATCTGTAGAACCAGGACAGTGTAGTATCAGTGTGTATGGTGTGTATCTGTAGAACCAGGACAGTGTAGTATCAGTGTGTATGGTGTGTATCTGTAGAACCAGGACAGTGTAGTATCAGTGTGTATGGTGTGTATCTGTAGAACCAGGACAGTGTAGTATCAGTGTGTATGGTGTGTATCTGTAGAACCAGGACAGTGTAGTATCAGTGTGTATGGTGTGTATCTGTAGAACCAGGACAGTGTAGTATCAGTGTGTATGGTGTGTATCTGTAGAACCAGGACAGTGTAGTATCAGTGTGTATGGTGTGTATCTGTAGAACCAAGACAGTGTAGTATCAGTGTGTATGGTGTGTATCTGTAGAACCAGGACAGTGTAGTATCAGTGTGTATGGTGTGTATCTGTAGAACCAGGACAGTGTAGTATCAGTGTGTATGGTGTGTATCTGTAGAACCAGGACAGTGTAGTGTCAGTGTGTATGGTGTGTATCTGTAGAACCAGGACAGTGTAGTATCAGTGTGTATGGTGTGTATCTGTAGAACCAGGACAGTGTAGTATCAGTGTGTATGGTGTATACCTGTAGAACCAGGACAAAGTAGTCGACAGGTTTGTTCCTCATATACAGGAAGTGCTGTGGTGCTCGTTTGTTCTTTCTGTCAAACTTTAGTTCCTGAACGACACTGGGGTGTTTGATCAGACGAAGGAGAATCTTCTCTGAGAGATGACATGGCCTGAAGGGCTCCACTTCTAGAAAGAGAGAGTGAGATTGAGAGAGCGAGAGGGTGAATAGAAAAAATAGTAGCACAAAAATAGCACAGACGCACGTACATACACACAGACACATCCATCCACACATACACAAAGAGGTTCTACCTGTGGCCAGGAAGCGGTGTGTAGCTAGCAGCAGTTGAGGAGACATCTTCACCTTCATCTCGTTCTCTGTCAGGTTAAAGATGGAGAAGTCGTGTTGCTTCCTCTCATGGTGAGACACGCGCCTCTTAGTCCTCTTATCAACTAGGGAACAATTAAGCAATTAACCAATCAATTAACCAATCAATTCACCAATGAACCATCCATTTAATCATTCAATTAAATCTTAATTTCTATTCTATTCACACAGTTATTTATCACAGAACACAAACCATTTTTTTTATTCTTCCAGAAACATCTGATGAAAAAACACACACCTCCAACTCCAACTCACTAATCTGATCTAAATCAAACAATCCCACGTCTGGGGAGATTAATGAAAAGGCTTAGATTGGATTGGTAATATGATGTTCAGATTGTGTTAAATAGTTAGGCTTCAGTATGAACAGCTGGTGTTATACTGAGGCCTGCGGTGCAGTCACTGAGATTAGCTGCACTGTGCTATATTTAACATACACACGCACGCACGCACAAGCACACACACACAGCGTTGTGATGACTGGTCTAATGTACGAATGAAGTCCGGTGACCGGTTCATGCAGCTATTCACACGTGCATATTTTATATTTTTGCATTAGTGTGGCATAACATATTTATATTATTGGTCCAAGGGACACATCATTATTTTCTCTGAAAATGGGAAGCAGCTTGGTCGGGAAGTCCCGGGATACCAGTCACAGGTACTGAACCCTAACACACACACACATGCATGCGCACACACACTCTCTCTCTTCTCTCTTTATCTCTCTCTCTTTTTCTCTCACCACGGAGCTTGCTTTATATAGTACATTCTCCTTGCAATTAAAAATGTAACAGGTTTGAAAATTCAATGATGTTTCCAGAAAGGGTTAGGGAAGTCTGTTATTATGCACACAGTATTTACCCCATTGGTGGTTGCAGCATACATAGAAGTATGCAATATGTGATGATACAGCATAATGTAAAATAAACAATGTACCCCCCCCCCCCCCCCCCCCCCCCCCCGCTCTCTCTCTCTCTCTCTCTCTCTCTCTCTCTCTCTCTCTCTCTTTGTCTCTCTCACTCACATACACACACACACACACACACACACACACACTGCAGAGAGAGCGTTAAACCCCAATTAAGCCAGTGGTAATTATCTATGGGATAAATTCATTACTTCTGATCAATTATGCATCCGATCAGGTCATGGGAGCCCCAGGAAGTGATAAATAGCTTAGAGGGAGACAGGAATAGAGAGAGAGAGAGAGAGAGAGAGAGAGAGAGAGAGAGAGAGAGAGAGAGAGAGAGAGAGAGAGAGAGAGAGAGAGAGAGAGAGAGAGAGAGAGAGAGAGAGAGAGAGAGAGAGAGAGTTGTTATTCTGTACATACTGTAGAGGTCTGTCTCATCCACAATCTCAGACTTGATGATTTCTTCGATAACATCCTCCAAAGTAACGATTCCCAGGACCTCGTAGAAGGGGTCTCCCTCCCCTTCACTATTCACCCTGTGGACTATAGCCAGATGGGATTTACCTAGGAGAGAGAGCGAGAGAGAGAGAGAGAGAGAGAGAGAGAGAGAGAGAGAGAGAGAGAGAGAGAGAGAGAGAGAGAGAGAGGTTAGAGAAATGGATAGTAGGATCTATTTGTGATGAGTCTGGAAATCCTTCTGTCATTAAAGCAGATTAAAAATCAACACAGCACCAATCAGGAGACTCTTACTGTAAGTAGCTGTTAAGACAGAGATTGATGCCCTCCCCAGCTGATATGAGTCAGTCATACATAGATAAATTATATCTTCGTGTTATTATTACTGAGAACTAGCCAGATCACAATGGAAAATACCCTCAGCGGTAACTGTGTGTGTGTGTGTGTGTGTTTATGTGTCAGTGGGCAGGGGACGATTAATAGTGACATTTTGACAGTCAGGAGAACTTGGTGGTTACGTAAACACAGCCTGAGATTACGTAACCTGTCTGGGGAAGCCTGGTTCTGATGAGTAGACTCACTGGCCATACTGCTGCCTGCCACCTTCAGACACACACATGCATGCATGCCCACACACACACACACAAACACACACACACACACATAAACACACACACAAAGATGCATGCATTTAAACTCTCATACATATGCATGAATGAACTGCATGCACACAGATATAGTATGAACGCATGCATGCCCACACAGCATCATGAAGGCTCCTACTTGGCATATCAAACCTCCTGAGATTGGAACTCTACTCCATCTTGAGTCTAACTCTTGTTCAACTATCAAATCCTCTTAGTTTGAGGACTTAAAAAAATAACTGTCCACTATGAAAGGCACTGAATAGCATCTTACATAACGATTTACAAGCACACTGCCTTGTGTGTCAGTCCAATACAACAACAGAGACGCTACGGTTTCTTTCCATGGCTTGTGAACGATTTAGTCATTGTGGCGTTTCATGTAAGACTCCCCACCTCCCCACCTCCCTCCTAAGCCCTTTGTCTTCCTGAATCAGCCTCCATCACAGCTGCAGAGAGAGGGGAGGAAAGGAGAGGAAGAGGTAAAGGTTGGAACTGAATTTTTTATGGCGTCACAGCCAGGTTACCGATAGTTCACCCCCCCCCCCCCCCCCCCCCCCCCACACACACACACTTCCTGACCGCTACACACTTCTGCCTCTCCCCAGTGATGGCATGCTGACATGGGGATTAGAAGTGAAGGTCAGAATCCGCAGGGTTCTCTCCTTACTCTAATCCTCTCCCCCTCACATTAATATGTAACTTCAAATGTTATAGTCAGTTAGCTCCTGTAAAACGTCATGATTCTGCAGGACCAAGTGCTTTGAATGGTTCTATTGTTCAATCAAAACGTGCGTCTGTTTTTTGGGGGGTATGAGAAAAATAACAATATACATTAACTAACAATCTATATTAACAATATATGCTCTCCTCAGACGTTCCTACCGACAAACGGACACCCCTGTCAGTGAACTGATTCTCTGGCAACCATAGCATGGTTCCAACAGAAGGGACAACCCAGATATCATTCATGTGGACCATCGTAAATGTGACACTGGACTGGAGGAGGAGGCGGGGACTGCGTCTACAATGGAGGACCGGCAGCTCTGGAAGCCCCCAGACAACCAGATGATGATGAATGTGAGTTGAAAATGTGAATGTTACTTTTAATCACACCACAAAACAAATGTATATTGAATAAGGCCCTCTCATCCAACTCATTTGTCCCAAGTCATCCTTTTCATCATTAAACCCTTCATTCTGAATAAATCAGATTACCATCTCTGAGCCCTCATGGACAAACCAACCCTGACAATCTGAATAGCATCTAAATGAAGCCCTAGTCCTGTTACATAAGCTCTCATCCTAGTGGACACTGCCGTCTCTGTCCCAAAGCCTCCAGTTTGATTCCTGCCAAGTCAGAGCACATCAAATCTATTCTACTTCTGTTTATTATGCAACACACAGGAGAAACATTATGCCCGTTCATTTCACCCACTCAAAAATTGACTTTTTACTTTTATATAGTTCCTATCGAAGTACTGAGTATAACCCATTCACGCAAACAAACACATACACACACAGTTTTGTATTGCTATCCTTGTGGGGACAAAATAATTGATTCCTATCCAAAATCCTATTTTCCCTAACCCCTAACCCTAAATCTAACCCTAACCCTAACCTCAATCCTTAACCTAACCATAACCCTAACTTTAACCCTAAACCTAACCTAACCTTAACTCCTAACCCTAAAACTATTCCTAACCCTAACTCCTAACCCTAAACCTAACCGTAACCCCTAACCCTAACCTTAATTCTAACCCTAACCCTAATTGTAACCCTAACCCTAAACCTAACCCCTAAGCCTAAAATAGCATTTTTCCTTGTGGGGACCGGCAAAATGTCCCCACTTGTCTGAATTTTCCTTGTTTTAGTATCCTTGTGAGGACTTCTGGTACCCACAAGGATAGTTAAACAAAAAGACACACACACCTACCTAACCCCCCTGGCTGACGGCTGAATGATTCATACTCTGGTTGTCATGGGAATCAGAAGAGCCTCTAACTCCCTTTAACATTCTTACATGGATGGAGACACAAAGGACTGTTTACTGTCAATTTGTCACTTCTCTTCAGACTGCAGCACATTATTCCTGTTCTACTGTGGGATGTGAAGCCTCACTGGGCTCTTTCAACTCACTGCCATTCTATGAATCCCTGCGACGGGTAATAAACACAGGTTATCCAAAGTAATTACCATAAGTAAAACAGGACATTTGTATCATAATAATTGGCATAATCATTGCATAATCCAGAACCAAATCAGCTAAAGCAGTCACAAGAGACTATAATTTTCATAATCTGTAAAACATACAGATAACCTTGCTACACTCTCTAAGCTGTCCCAGTTCATTCAAGGAAGTTGTTGATTTCATGGATTATAGATATGGCTTAAAACTCTTCCCTGACATACAGTTGCCCAGTGTTTCCCAAACTTGGTCCTGGAGACCCCAAGGGGTACACGTTTTTGGTTTTTGCCCTAGCACTACACAGCTGATTCAAATGATGAACTCATCATCAAGCTTTGATTATTTGAATCAGCTGTGCTAGGGCAAAAACCAAAATGTGTACCCCTTGGGGTCCCCAGGACCAAGTTTGGGAAACCTTGCAGTAGCCTATCCCACTCACCTCCACTTGAACCTGCTGAGCCTGTATCATCTTATATGACTGACTGTTCAGAGCATCACTGGATTTAAATACACCCTGGATTCTCTGCTTTTCAGGAAGAGGGAAGTGGTGTGATGGAATGTGTATGAGTTAACTTGAACACTGTCAATGCACTTAGCTATACAAAATGTATTGTCAAACGAGCACAGCACCTGCTGAACAATGTAATATTTGTTTTATCATAGATCATGTGTAACAGGGTAGAGGTGCCTGAATTGCAGTAATCATGTGATTTGAACCTGTGAGCTCATTGGTCCATGTGCTCTGATGGTTGCAGGTATAATTCTGGAGAATGCACCTCCACCTGTATGGTGCATTTCCTATAATATTTACACTACCGTTCAAAAGTTTGGGGTCACTTAGAAATGTCCTTGTTTTCTAAAGAAAATCATTTTTTTTGTCTATTAAAATAACATCAAATTGATCAGAAATACAGTGTAGACATTGTTAATGTTGTAAATGGCTATTGTAGCTGGAACGGCTGATTTTTTATGGAATATCTACATAGGCGTACATTGGCCCATTATCAGCAACAATCAGTCCTGTGTTCCAATGGCACATTGTGTTTACTAATCTAAGTTTATCATTTTAAAAGGCTAATTGATCATTAGTAAACCATTTTGCAATTATGTTAGCACAGCTGAAAACTGTTGTGCTGATTAAAGAGTATCTGGAGCATCCGCAATTGTGGGTTCGATTACAGAATCAAATGGCCAGAAACAAATAACTTTCTTCTGAAACTCGTCAGTCTATTCTTGTTCTGAGACATGAAGGCTATTCCATGCGAGAAATTTGCCAAGAAACTGAAGTTCTCATACATCGCTGTGTACTACTCCCTTCACAGAACAGCGCAAACTGGCTCTAACCAGAATAGAAATAGGAGTGGGAGGCCCTGGTGCACAACTGAGCTAGAGGACAAATACATTAGAGTGTCTAGTTTGAGAAACAGACGCCTCACAGGTCCTCAACTGGCAGCTTCATTAAATAGTACACGCAAAACACCAGTCTCAACGTCAACAGTGAAGAGGCGACTCCGGGATGCTGATCTTCTAGGCAGAGTTGCAAAGAAAAAGCCATATCTCAGACTGGCCAATAAAAATAAAATATTAAGATGGGCAAAAGAACACAGACACTGGACAGAGGAAGATTGGAAAAAAGTGTTATGGACAGACAAATCGAAGTTTGAGGTGTTTGGATGACAAAGAAGAACATTTGTGAGATGCAGACCAAATGAAAAGATGCTGGAGGAGTGCTTGATGCCATCTGTAAAGCATGGTGGAGGCAATGTGATGGTCTGGGGGTGCTTTGGTGGTGGTAAAGTGGGAGATTTGTACAGGGTAAAAGGGATCTTGAAGAAGGAAGGCTATGACTCCATTTTGCAACGTCATGCCATACCCTGTGGACAGCGCTTGATTGGAGCCAATTTCCTCCTACAACAGGACAATGACCCAAAGCACAGCTCCAAACTATGCAATAACTATTTAGGGAAGAAGCGGTCAGCTGGTATTCTGTCTATAATGGAGTGGCCAGCACAGTCACCGGATCTCAACCCTATTGAGCTGTTGTGGGAGCAGCTTGACCGTAAGAAGTGCCCATCAAGCCAATCCAACTTGTGGGAGGTGTTTCAGGAAGCATGGGGGGAAATCTCTTCAGATTACCTCAACAAATTGACAACTAGAATGCCAAAGGTCTGCAAGGCTGTAATTGCTGCAAATTGAGGATTATTTGACGAAAGCAAAGTTTGAAGGACACAATTATTATTTATATTAAAAATAATTATTTCTAACCTTGTCAATGACAACATTTCCTATGCATTTTGCTATATTTCCTATTCAAACTCATTTCATGTATGTTTTCATGGTAAACAAGGACATTTCTAAGTGACCCCAAAACCTTTGAACAGTAGTGTAACTCTTTACATGCTACCTGATTCTGCATAAAAATGTTTTCTCTCTACAACAGTGTATACCTAACTCAGGTGTGAGTGTGGATGTGCCTAGCCTATTACCTCTCTTGAACTCCTCCAGCATTACATCCAGTTTGGTATCGCTGAACACACAGTGCATTGGGTGTTTGTAGAACTGGGTGATGGTCTTCAGCGGGGTGCAGTCATCCGGGTCCACAAACGCCAGGTCTTTGACGAACAGGATATCAACGATGTTGGATCTGTCATTCTCATAGACCGGGATCCGGGTGAACCCGCTCTGCATGACATCAGACATAGTACAGAAGTCTAGAACAGCATCTGAGGAGAGCATGTAACAGTCCGCCAGCGGAGTGTGAACTTCTTCTACGTTCTTGGTGCGTAACTCCAGAGCGCCCTGGATGATGTTGAGTTCCTCTTTGACCAAATCGTGGTAGGGATCTGTGACGCGCAGCATGGCAACCAGTTTCTCTCTGGTGTAGAAATTACTGATCTCCTGGTGAAGCATGATGTCTAGGAGCTTGGAGACGGGGTAGGAGATGGGGAAGGAGACCAGCATTAGAAGCCGGGTGGCCCAGATGGTTTTGGAGGCGATGGCGAGGCTGTGTCTGGACGCCACAGAGTGAGGCAGGATCTCTCCTATAAAGAATATACCGAAAGTGCAGGTAGCAAGGGAGGTGGGAGTCATCCCTATAATCTGGCACATCCACACTACGAAACAGGTGTTGGTCAGCACGTTGCCCAGCACCACAGTACACAGGATGTAGTTGCCATGTTTACGTACAGATTCGATCTTGTGCGCGTATTTTTGTTCCTTCTCGGTGCCACTGTTTTGGAGGACCCGGAGCTCAACGGGATCCAGGGCGAGCATGCTGATGTTCAGCCCACTGCAGAGCGCAGAGAGACCCAGTAACAACACTGACACCACCAACTGGAGCCACACGTCCGCTTGCGGGGGTCGCTCCACCACCGCTAGCCAGAAGTCTCTGGTGGTGAAATGTTCCCACTTCACCCCATCAAACGCGCAAATGGAGTAGTATTTGATCCGCTCATCTTTGCGCAGGTCTTTGGCGAGCAGCTCCACTATGGAATCAGAATCAAATAACAAAAAGGTCTTCATCAGACAAGAATAAAAACGCACAATAGCACAAGATAAAAAAATAAAAAACATTTGATGATTCAACAATGATAAAAGCATGTAACTATAAACGGACCTAGAACGGAGTTGTGGCTGGATGCAGACCTGAAGGAACCCAGGAGTTCGATGTCAGAACTCCGCGCATGCTCGTCCACGCACGGGTTCCGTTTGGGATGGACCTAAATACAAATTCACATTTTAACACGATATTTAGGCTATTTAATTAAACATATTTCATATATAGCTTTAAGGGTAAATGGTCAATACACTAAATAACTGACCATACTCTCCCCCTCTCCTCTCTCTCCTCCTGGCTCCTCTATGAAGGCGATCCATGGTGCGGCAGCTGCAGCCTCTGGTCTCTCGCTCCCAGAGCGGTTGTGGGCTCTCTGTGTAACCGAGAATGCTGCGTAGTAAACCCGCAGCATGAACCGCGTCCCCTCGGTCGCCTGGAGCAGCCCGTCTTGTACAGACAGCTCCCCGGCTTTAGTGTTCTCTGGGCGGACACCAAGCAATCCCTTCGCTGGGGCTGGGAGAAAGAATACGAGGATGAGAAGGATAGAGAAGTTAAACAACAGCAGGCTGCAGGAATGAAGTGCGGATCGGTGTGTTGAGGATGAAGCTGCCGCAGCATCAGCAGCCATCATGCTGAATGAGCTGCAGAGGGACTTCGGCGATGAGTTGGTCACGTGGTTAGTGTTTTTACGCTGGCTCTTGGAATAGGCATACATCTGGAGAGCCACGCAAAGAGGAGAGAGAAGTGAGAAGGGGCCGAGAGAGAGCGCGGGCATGTGTGCGTCTTAAAAATCACATGCAGCACAATGACGTAATGTCATTTTGCGTGCCACTACCGTCTAAAAATAGAATACAGGAAATGCCCTATTATCAGCCACTTCCCTGGGTGATTGTCTGTCGCTCCCTGCAGAGATTACAATCGTAGAAACACGCCAAATAGGCTACTGTTGTCTACAGACAGACGCAATCATGCTGTGTGTGTGTGTTCATTTTGTAGGCCTACACAAAGGCCTACACCACAGCTTTGCTCTCGCAGGCTATTTTTTTCACAATCAGCATCATCAGCATCATCACCATCATAGTCATCCTCATCATTGTCACCGTCATAATGATCATCATCATCTTTATAAACAGCAGCATCGTCATCATCACATTGGGTAAAGCTGCAGTCGATTTTTCTAGAACGTGTTATACAGTATTCCACCAGATGGCAGTGCTGACTCCCCTTTCCCATTTCAGCACCAGCTCTGGAGTCAAGTTTTACTAGAGGCTCTTCAACTGAACAAGTTGTTCGTTTACCCTCCTAGTGTGAGTAATTTGATTTAATGTAACATTATATAGTAATTCAACTGATTTAATTAGCACAGTAATAACAGCAGGGTTGCATTTTAAAGCCAATAATAGGTTACTACTACGAGTCAATGTTTAGGGGCTGAGTCAGCAAATGATTTATAATTTGCATATGATTTATAATAAATAGCCTAACAATTATTATTTCTAAATGATTTAGAATTTTCAGGGCCCAATCGCATTTAGCCATACGAACAATTAGCCTACAAACGACAATATATTACTTGTATCGTCTAATTCCATTTAAAATATCATGTTTTTACATTTTGGAATCGTAGCCTACATGTTAGTTTAAGCCATAAAACTAGAAATGTAAACTGATGAGACAGTTTAGCAAAGCACACCATTAAATTGGTTTAGTAATCAGATAAATTAAAAGGACACGATAATACACAGGGACTTGGCTGCTCCTTTGTCAAGTGGTAGGCTAACTTCTCTGCCTCTGCAACTTTCACACGTCGTCAATATTCGGAAGAGCGAGCGTGAACCCTGCCTTGTAAACCGTGACCCTTTCATCGCCTGTTTAAAACAGTTACAAGCCTGGTTGTGGCGTGTCAATAAATAGCCTTATCCACCCTCCTTCGCCCCGGCTCTCTCTCTCTGAAACCATGCTCCAAATCACATATACTTGCCTGTCAAGGCAATGTTTTTAAAATATATATTTTATTTTGGAAGTATAATCGAAGTTAGATCCCACTGGGCACATACGTCAATTCAACGTCTATTCCACGTTGGTTCAACGTAATTTCGTTGATTTAACCAGAAAATAACAAACCATATAGCCACAAAACTGAAAATAAATTGTTTTATTGTAGGATATGTGACTAAATGATATAGGCCTAGTATTATTGATCTTTAAAATTCTGTTCAACTGTTAAAGCTTAATACATTTCAACAAAATATCTTTCCAATGCAATGCATTTGCGCTAGGCAATTATTGCTTCACTAACGAAATTGCTTTTACATTTTCGGCCCTGTCGATTTGTTGCCTTTTCCAAAAGTCAAAGTTTTTACCAATAGGCTACAATAGAGCCCTGTTTTATTGCGTTATAGTTCAGGGGCCTCGTGTTATAACTTGGGACAAAGATAGGTTGTGGCTTTGAAAAAGAGCGAGTTTAAATCTGATTATTATCGTAATGGTCCTGAGAAGTTTAAAGCTAACTAATGTGTAGGCTAAATGTAAATCTGGACGGATTGAGATAAAATAGAGAGAGCGATATGTAGGATTTAAACCAGATGTAGGCCTATCTTTAAACGCTATGCCATACAGGGTATATCCACCACCCGTTATGTAAAGCCATGCAACCACATCTAAAGGAATGATAGGAAAAAGCTATTGCTTTGTTTAACTCCGGAGGTAAGGGATGTGTTCGTTGTTCTGCATTAGAGGTAGGCCTATCTGTTGCACGTTTCCCTTTTTTCCCTATTTCCCAAGTAAATTACTATTATTCGTTTATATTACAAAATGATTTGGCTATTAGGCCATTTTTGTTGTTATTATTATTGTCATTATTATTAGTCTATTATAGTATTATTATGGTTGTATTAATTTTTCAAAGTTGATACAATAGGTCTACTTTTTTCTTCCATAAATGGAGTCGAAAAAGTATAGTCATAATATTTAGCATTTAGTTATTATTTTGTCAAAACCTTCCGCAAGTAGTTACTCAGTCAACGATACCTATACACACTTTCGATAGCTTATTCCACGAGGAAAAATAGCTTAAGTTAGTACGATAAAAGGTATTGTAAATGTGTTGAAAGCAGCAAACGATTGTTGGCTAGCCTACATTATTTTCTAAGTCTAAAGAAATTTGATAGTCGGCTAATTTTCTTTGCAATGATTAGAAATATGATAAAGTCAAGCACAGCTCGAGAAATGCACCCCAATCTGCACTCTGAAGGTGGCGGGTTCACGCACAAAAATATTCTACAAATGTTCTATCCTATGAACACAACTTTTAATGTTCTTGAATTGTGATAATATACAGTATTTGTTTTCAACTCCAATTGTTTGATTGTACATTTTACTAATTTAGCAGACGCTATTATCCAGAGCGATTTACATTAGCAATTTCTCTACCATAAGCTGCCTCCAACGTCGTTTAAGATAATTTGGCAGTACGTCCATCCGGCCTCACAACCGCAGACCACGTGTAACCACGCCAGCCTAGGACCTCCATATCCGGCTTTTTCACCTATTCGGCTCGAGATTCGAACCAGCGACCTTTCAGTTACTGGCCCAATGCTCTTAACCACTAGGCTACCTAGTGTAGCCTATAACACAGTTGTACTAATGTAATGTAAAGTATTTATACTATATTTAATATAGTTGGAATTCGTGGAAATCTTTCAGACTGTAGCTTTATTTACCCATATATCTGAGTATCGAGTATCAGAACAATGTTTTTTAACTAAATAAATGCAATCAGTCTCCATATCGTTCAAAGAGTGGGGCACTAAATCACTGTAATTTTCCCTTAATGTTCTATTTAACATTTTGATGACAGTTCATAGGGAAAAAATCTAACCTTTATGGAAATCACATGCTATGTATCCCCTTCAATCACAAACACTTTACACAATATGTCTTCGACATCTCAAAACGGACATCAAAAGACTCAAAATGACGTCTACAGTATATCTACCATAGACATGCAGTAAAAGACCGTAACTTGAAGAGGGGTTTTTGGTCCATTGCCATAGGACCGCTACAGCCGCGGCGGGACATATCAAAGACTCATCTCTTCTCCTGGTGAAGTGAGGGGTCAACCGAAGATCTCACTGCGATATGGAGAGAGTGATATAGGAGTTAGAGAAGGTTGGAGAGATTAATATATAGAGAGGTATACGGTTGGAGAGGGTGAAAAGGAGGCAGACGTTTGCTCCCCGCTGTTAGACGTGCATATTTGCAATAGATGGACAGTGTTCTGCCTTATGACCATGCGGGGTGCGCGTCTGATTCTACCCCACATAGCGATGACAGTTGATAAACCTTTCTCATGAGAGATTAATAACAATAACTGGATCGTTTATGTGCTGTCCATTTCTGCGTCTCCATATTTCCTTTGTTCCTTTCAGCCAGGCATCCCGCACTTTCCAGAATTAATATCGAGCTTTCCAAGAGTCATTTGAATGGCTAAAGTTGGTGCGTAAAACATGAAGTTGGTTGCAGCGGTCACTAATTCAAATAGATAATAGAACCTCTAAACATTTTCAAACTTGTATTGACTTTGACTGTAACAGGAGGGATTACACAAAGGTTTTAGCATATCTTCCCAATCCCAGTGCATCATGCACTTTCTTCACAGTAGATCCAGGGGAGTATATAGTCAGCGACCTCGTGTAAGGCGGTGTGCTCATGAGGCTGAGACGAGCCAGGTCGAGGTGAGGTGAAGTTGTTGGGATAACCACCATAACGCCGACCCAATCGGTCGGTCAATGCCCTCTCCTAGCCAGTGGGACCACGCTGTGTCTAGGCCCTCTGATCAAATAACATCTGGAGAGAGACTTTATATAAAGCTTTTATAGGTATGTTAAATATGTAGGCTGTAGAGTTCTAAATTAGTAAGTCGCTCTGGATAAGAGCGTCTGCTAAATGACTAAAATGTAACTGTAAATGTAATATGTTTTTGAAAGCGCCTCAAGTAGCCTATACGACTGAGATGGGCTGTGTTTGCCAAAGTTAAGCCTGCAAAGCTCGATGAAGTCACTGGTTAAACTGTAGAAAACACATTAGCACAGATCAAACTCTGAGAAAACATTAGCCTTGTGATCGCAGCTGTTCTTAAATAGCCTACTTAAAAAGCCTACTCGTGTGTAAAATATATTTTATAGCATATCCTAACTAGTTATTTACTTGCCTTTTCTTGTAGGCCGACTGATCTAAGACCGTACATCAAGAAATGCCCAGTTCGATAACAGTGTCTAAAAACCGTCCCATTCAAAAGTGTAGAAAGAACATCAATAGGCCTACTCTGATATTTCATTTATTTACTTTGACGTTTACTTGTTTTACTAGGACTAAACGTTTTTGTTTTATGTAGACTTACTACAAATGTTCGTGTAGCTAGTTAGGAGTGTGCGTTTTTTTTGTCTTCTTTGATGGATTGTATTTGGGTTCTTTACTTCCCCAAGGAACGAAATATGCGTTTGTTTAAAAATGCATAATTACGTCTGTAAATGCATAATTACGTCTGTACCAAAACCATCTTGGCACTGTGGAGCTGCATCCAACTTTAATGTATAAGAGATTTGTGTTTCACAGATAATTAGCAAATATAAAACGTTCAGCCTTTTAGATGACCATGCAATTGTAATCTAAACTACACAAATCTTCGCTATTTCCGAGATCCCAAATTCGACTAGTTTTTAGCCGAAATATTTCTAGAGTATAATTTTGAATACACGGTTTTCATAACGCTTGTTTTTAATCATTCCATTGGTTACCAGGATTTGTTGGTATTGTTTTGTTCGAGAGTGACAAATACACGAGAGTTTCATACACAATTCATTGCATCAGACAAATTGCTTTTCAGATTTACATGAAAATGTATGTTTTGTGGCAGGCACGAGCGTGCGTAATTATTTTTAGATGGTGCATTGGAGACAACTCGTGAAGAGCGTATATTCTATCTCTTATTACCGTTTGATTCATTTGTCTATGTAAAAGTATAGCCTCTTATTTTTCTAAAGGTTCCCTTTCATAATTTTACAAGTAATAAAAACAAGAAATAGACTGACGTGTTGAGCTCTGCAAAGCGGACTTGTCCTAGCATATTGATAAATAGCTCGCCCTGATCAGTGTTTTCTCTCCTACACCTCAGGGGTTAAGTATGAGCCCTCATACCTCAGAGAAGAACCACCGCTGAGTCCTGAAGAGGGGCGGTGCTGCCTCCTCTCCTCCCCCCGGCTCCTGGCCCTCTCTAGCGGGGAGGCTGGCCCGGGGCGTGCGCTCCCCTCTCCAGCTCCCAAAAACACGGAGGGGCGGGGGAGACGGACAGACAGAAAGGAGCAGATCTCTTCGCTCAAAGGAAGAGGGATAGTGCATTCGGACTAGAAGGTATCGCTATAGCTTTTCTCACTTTCCCTCAAACAGCAGAGCACGGTCTTATTTTTATGCGCGGTGTTCCTTCCATCCGTGGTACCAAGCCAGGAAGATGCCCAAACCGAAGACATGCCCCTTCCCAGGCTCCCCTCTGTGGCTGGTATCCGTTGCTCTGATGGTGCGGTCGGTGATATCCTCTTCTTCGACCTACCAGAGACCTGCACCGGGCAGCGGGGGGAAGAGAACGGGGTTCATGGAGAGGACGCTCATTTTGCTAGATGTCAACACCCGCAGTCCGGTTCAAGTTCTAAATGACAACTTCCTCTCTTTACAGTTGGATCCGTCGATTATAAAGGACGGGTGGCTGGACTTTCTGAGGTAGATTTCCTTCCCACTCTGTCTGCTTTATCGACTTCTTCATATTCGTCGTTATTCTCATGTTTGGATCAAATGCATTGTTTTTGGTTTGTAGGTCTCTGTTGAGTATGATCGGATTTAGTTATCTAGACGAATGTTCTTTAACAATATTATGATATCAGGGAATCGTTAAACCATTTCATAAAGTCGGTTGATGCCGATTTGTGCCTCTGGCCGTTGTTTAGGTGACATTAGATATGGGGTAGGCTAGCCTATATGGAGTGGCCTAAAGATTGTAGTGTCGGTCTAACTTCATAATTATGTCGTCGAGCTTTAACAATTGGTGTGTATACTAGTAGACTATTTTCTAATTAAGCAATAAGGCACGAGGGGGTGTGGTATATGGCCAATATACCAAGGCTAAGGGCTGTTCTTATGTAGGATGCAACGCAGAGTTCCTGGATACAGCCCTTAGCCATGGTATGTTGGCCATATACCACAAACTCCCGAGGTGCCTTATTGCTATTATAAACTGGTTACCAACTTAATTAGAGCAGTAACAATAAATGTTTTGTCATACACATGGTATATGGTCTGATATACCATGGCTGTCTGCCAATCAGCATTCATGGCTCGAACCACCCAGTTTATAATTTCAGTTGAGACACCTTTTGACGCATCATTCTCGTGTTGCATGCATGCATCAGCGTACACAGTATGTAGCCTAATTTATAAACATCTCTTTAACATAGTGGTGTTAATAATAGGCCTACATATATAATACCACTGTCTTAGTGTCAATGTTTCTGTGTTCTACACAATGTTAATACTGAGAGAGAGAGGAACGAGAATGAGAGGCAAAGAGGTGATGTGAGCTCATAATATATAGTTAATGTTGCATGTTGGGTATGGAAGGGACTAGTTTACATTGGTAGAAGTAGGCCTACATGGAGCACATGAGGCTCGCCGAAGAATTTCCGTAAACAGAGGTTTCTTATTTCCAATGAAACGTCCACTGTTATTGTTTGGGAGGAGAGAAAGGAGTCATGGCATTTTACAAGTGCAATGGAGTATCAGCGTTTACTACTCGATATCGACATGTTTGTAATAATGAAAAACAGTCTGAATGGCTTCTCAGATATTATAGTATCACCGCATGTGGCGCCCTGGAAGTAAACTTTTACCAGTCATTGGAGAAGTTTGTGGTCAGGATTTATGGATACTAATCATCACAATAATATAATAATATACTTAATGTTCATAATATTCATAATAACAATAATGCACTATGTGATCAATCAATTAACCTTTTAACAATACATACACATTTTTTGCTTTACTTTGGTTCATACTTTTCAACAATTTCCTATATGTCTGTAGGCTATTCACTGACAATTTCAAGGCTAATTTTCTACAATGTTTTCCCCATATTTATTTTCTTTAAATTTAGTGGTCAAGTTCATATAAAGCGTTATTTGACTAAACATTGAAACCATGCCTACTGATCGTCAGATCTGATAACCCAGCGCTCAAGCACACCGAGGCCATACTATACCATAAATTCGTTTTTTTGGTAGGTCGGTGGATTTGAGCGACATAAATAGGAAATTATTATAATACAAAGTTAGGCGATTTAACTTCTACAATAGTCTATAATTGTCATAAAAATGGCACTTTATTCAAGTCTGCATGAATCGGCTAAAATGATCACAACATGGAATGTGTCTGACTATATTCTGCCTTGAACATAACATTAAAGCTACAGTACAATTTCCAGTCATTTCAATTAATGGGAAATATTCCCTTAATTTTAAAGAATGTGACTTATAAATAGGCCTACTACAAAACTGTTCTTTTGCTCCATATTTTTGGTCAAATGAGACTTTGTAAACAAATAATGACTAGATTCAAATCAAAGTTTAAAAAGTAGGCTAATGTTGCTCTCATGGAATGCCATTCCTTGACTACTACAGAAAGCATGTGCTATTGGCATATGATGTATTAGTTTGCTCCATTGTTTTGTTGGTGGTCCACTCTTGATGATATGCACAAATTACAGTGTGGCTTTGGTCGAAAAGTATAATATTTCTGTTGTTTATTCTGTGTCCAGTCTGGTAACACTACAGTAGAGTGGAATACTTAACCGCAAAATATTTTTCTAATCCAGAGCTGTGGGACATATTATTCCTAGCTGGCTAACAGCGGCACTGAGAGGGTCATAAAAGGCCTGTTGTAATGGAAAAGCTGTCATGTCCTGTAAGACCATTATGTAAATACTAGTAGGGTTCACTAGCTTTTCTCTCAAGTGAAACCAATAGGTGAGAGGGATAGTCATAAGTGTTTTGAAAGTCCAGTCTGGAAAGCTTTGTCAGTAATCTGCTAATACTGTAGTGTAGAACATGGTTTTATTATTCTGGGCACACTAGTGTCACCATCATAAAATGTTGCCTTGTGACATCTAAAAACACTAAAACCTACTCTCTGTATGAATTAAATTGGCTGCATGTCTAGTTTTCTTTTGCTGAATCCGAATGCACAGGGCAATCAAGAAATATCACATGTGAATAAAGCTGTCATTGTTTTATTACTTGAGTTTTATTTTTTTTGTCTTGTGAAAGTGGTGCTCAGCCTCTGTTGAGTAGCTTATGTCACTAGTGCTGGAAATTGCAATATACCCACTACAGGAATTATTTTCAAAATAACACCAGTGTCAATCATTTCTTCTCAGAGTTGTGTATATACATACATAATCTGAAATCAATGATAATCATGTTGGGTTTTTCATGCAGCTTGTTTTGACACAGAGCCTTTCAAACTGTAAAATATTGTTTAATCAACAGTTCAGATGTATTTGTGCACCATATTCTTATCAGATCTCTGTCTCCCTGTGTAGTTCCAAGCGTTTGGTAACCCTAGCCCGAGGTCTGTCCCCAGCCTATCTGAGGTTTGGAGGAAAGAGAACTGACTTCCTCCAGTTCCACAACTTGAAGAACCTTGCCAAGTTCAGAGGCCCTGGCCCAGATTACTACCTAAAAAACTATGAAGATGGTGAGTTAGACATTATGGATTTGATTATTAATTTACACAAATGTTAAACACAGATTTTGTATCTTTATTTCTTGTGTTATTTTCCCAATTTGATTATAAAATGTATTGAGATGTTTAAATGTACTTTAGGTACAGTTGAAATCATCAATGTCCATGTTAATCAGTAGGCCTATATTCTTATTCTGTAGCATTCAATTGAAATTCAAACAAGCTTTATTAGCATGAAAGGAACAATCCAATGTTGCCAGAAGTGGTAGGCAATTAAACTGCATGACCCGTTCTTGGTCTCTGTGTCCACGCTCAGACATAGTGCGTAGTGACATTGCCCTGGACAAGCAGAGGGGCTGTAAGCTGGCCAACCACCCTGACATGATGCTGGAGCTGCAGAGAGAGAAGGCAGCTCAGATGCAGCTCGTCCTCCTCAAAGAGCAGCTCTCCAACATCTACAGCAACATCACAATAACAGGTAGGAGATCACACACACACACAAAAAAACTCTCTGTTTGGTGGGTTACTCAATCTTGCCAGAGCACGGCGATGTAAATCATCACCCCTCAGATTTACTAATGTAATTTGTAGAGTAGGGATGGAGGGATGGAAGGATGGAGGGAGGAATGTAGAGGAAGCAAGGAGGCAGAGAGTGCTGGCATTTCTGAATGTAAGGTTAAACGGAACCTGACTGTGAAGGGGCAGCTGGACTGTGTGTGTATGTTTGTGTGTGCGTGTATGTGTGCATGCGTGACTTGCTGAGTCCCAGTGACTATCCCTGGCTTCCCAGGGTGGTAACTGGGAACCGTAAGGGTTTGGCTAGCAGTAGGCTGTGTCTGGATGTCTTTATGTTACAGTATTTTGCTTGGTATTTATTAGAAATGATGTGGCAGCAATTAATACTTTGTAGTAGTTAAATACCAGTTGTCGTACCAAATGGCATGTAATGATATGATGTAATGATAATGTAATGATGGTTAATTTAAAACATATAGATGCTGTAGTATTAATTTGGTCATTGTTCTGTAATTACAATTTTACTGCTATAATTTCCAGCAAAATACAGAGTAAACAGCAGTCTATCAAAACAAAGCGTAACCCCAGAGTTTCTAACTTTTAAAATGTGTGGATCATATCAACTTACAAAGTTGAAGAGAGGAGAGATGAGGATGAAGTTTCAGTCATCGGAGCTACAATGGCAACTACAGCTGCTTGTGATTTATTTGAAGAACAAAATGACTGTGTTTGTGTGTGTGTTTGTGTGTGGTATTGTGTGTGTGTGTGTTTGTGTGTGGTATTGTGTGTGTGTGTGTTTGTGTGTGTGTGTGTGTGTGTGTTTGTGTGTGGTATTGTGTGTGTGTGTGTGTGTGTGTGTGTGTGTGTGTTTGTGTGTGGTATTGTGTGTGTGTGTGTGTGTGTGTGTGTGTGTGTGTGTGTGTAAAACCACCCATGTTAGAAATGCCTGCCCTAGATCTGTCTTGAGCAACACACACTGCAACTAAGGAGATATTCATATGAAGAAATAACAGGAACATTTAGGGATTATTCCCCAAATATTTATCCCTACAGAACTGATGCCATGACAGATCATTCCACCATCTTCACTCAATACTTCAGTGATTTAATGTGTATCTAATATATCTTCATATTATCCCAAGTGAATCTGCTAGAATTTAATTGTCTTTTGTCTAATACATTGTTCATAAATGCACAGGAGAGTGGTTTTGCATTATTCCGTTTTTAATGTACTGTAGTATATAAGGTATTTCCAGACACATTTGTACATTGATAGATTTTAATTGATGAGGTTACTGTGTGTGTGTGTGTGTGTGTGTGTGTGTGTGTGTGTGTGTGTGTGTGTGTGTGTGTGTGTGTGTGTGTGTGTGTGTGTGTGTGTGTGTGTGAACTGTATGTAAGTCTGTGTATCATCAGCTGTGTGATTTCAATGGGCCTCAAGTGCACTAGTCAAAACATGGCCTGACTGCTCCTATCTTCTATCACTGAAGAGACACATGGAGGAGAACCATTTGTTCATGTTTAGGTGTAGAGGAGTTTCAGTTCACAAGTTCAGGAGTCACACTGTGTATCACCCTGTACTTTCTCTGTTGTGGACTATCAATATATTCTGGTCCACGTCCACCTCAAGGGTTCTTCTTCCTTGCTTCGATGTTGTCTTTAATGTTTTTCACTGTCACCCTACACTTGGTCTGGGGAGGGATTAGGTCCCAGAGTTTTCTTAAAGGCCCAGTGCAGTCAAAAACGTGATTTTCCTTTGTTTAAATATATTTCCACACTATAAGGTTGGAATAATACTGTGAAATTGGGAAATTATGATAATGCCCTTTTAGTGTAAGAGTTGTTTGAAAAGACTGCCTGAAATTTCAGCCTGTTTTGGTGGGATGGAGTTTTGGCCTGCCTGGTGACGTCACCAGGTGGTAAATTAGTTAATAGACCAATAAGAAAGAGAGATCAAAATCTCTCTGCCAATAACAGCTACTGAGACCACTCACAGACAGTCCTAGCAACATTCTTGCTTGAGAAATGGGTCTTTGCTGAGAAGCAATTTTTGTGTATATTTGACCATTATAATTGAAAACAATCACAGTAAGGTACTTAATTGTTACCCAGAAATGATTTGATATTGAGACAGGTAAGGACATAGAGATCCTATAATTTATAGTAATTTATAGTAAATTATAGTGACATTTATAGGATAATGATTGAATAGGACTCTATGAAGTGTTCCATCTTTGTAATTGCTCATTAAGAGAGTGAATTCAGCAATTCCCTTTTCTTTACACAGTACATTAGGAAAGGAGTATTTTTACTAGACAGACTGTCTTCCCATAAAATAATTCAGGAGACACATTTACTCCCTGTCTCTCTCCCTCTACATTCTGATGTGTGTGTGTGTGTGTGCGTGTGCTGTTATTGAGAAGGTGCCATGGCTGTGTTATCTATTTAAGTCTTAGGGGAGTAGAGGAGAAGCCAAGCAGAAGGACTTTATTTGCTCTAAGCTTATTTACCGTTCAGGGTTCGCTCACAAACTTGCATTTTTCATGAGCAGCTCACAAACCTGCTTGTGCCCCAGGACCAGTGGAAGAAAAATATTCCCATAACATCAAAGATCCGCCACCATATTTTACAGTAGGGATGAGGTATTTTCTACATATGCATCGTTCTTTCGAAGGCCAAATCCACCGCTGGTGTGCTTGGCCAAAGACTTCTATTTTTGTGTCAGATGACAATAGCGCTGGTTCCAATCCAAGTGCCAATGCCATTTAGCAAACTCCAGGTGGCGCTATGGTCAGACGACATGAAATTATAGCTCTTTGGCCACGCACACCAATGGTGGATTTGGCCATGGAAAGAACAATGCATATGCCGAAAATACCTCATCCCTACTGTAAAATATAATGGTGGATCTTTGATGTTATGGGGCTATTTTGTTATGGGGTCCTGGGACCATTGTTAAAGTCAATGGCATCATGAACTTGACCAAGTACCAGGACATTTAAGCCAAAAACCTGGAGGCCTCTGCCAGGAGGCTTAAACTTGGCCGCAAGTGAATCTTCCAGAAAGACAATAAACCCAATCACACATAAAAATCCACAAATAAATATTTAATTGACCACAAAATCAACATTTTGCAATGGCTATCTCAGTCTCCGGACTTGAACCCCATTGAAAACCTGTGGTTTGAATTGAAGAGGGCAGTCCATAAGCACAGATGAGGGTCTGGAAAGATTCTTTATAGAGGCATGGTCTAATCCCTCCCAATGTGTTCTCCAATCTCATAAAACATTTTAGAAAAAGGCTCAGTGTCGTTATCCTCGCAAGGGGAGGGTGCTGGAGTAATGAAAACAGGTGATCTAATCATTTTGACCCCTATCTTTTTTTAGATTAAAAAAAAATTACTTATAAACTAAATCTATTTCTCTGAGCAATTTTATTAGTATAAAATAATATTTATATTTTCATTTTTTAAAGCATATATTATAGCTCAGTATTTGTTTTATTTATTTTTACAGGTTTTTCTGCTCATCTTTATTAAGGGATCCAATAATTCCAGACCCCACTATATATCTATGTGAAATAAGTCATCCTCTTCTGTCTAGCCTGTGTGTGCTGAGATGTGGCTTACATGAAGATTTCTGAAGAATGCTGTTTAAAGGTCAAGTGCAGTCAAAAACGTATTTTTCCTGTGTATATACATTTCCACACTATGAGGTTGGAATAATACTGTGAAATTGCGTAAATTATCATAATACCCTTTTAATGTAAGAGCTGTTTGAAAAGACCGCCTGAAATTTCAACCTGTTTTGGTAGGATGGAGTTTTGGCCTTCCAAACCTCTCTGCCAATAACAACTAGTTTTCAGTTTTCCCCTCCCCACTCAGACCCCTCCCAGTCAGTCCTAGCAAAGTTCTTGCTTGAGAAATTGCTCTTGCTAAGAAGCTATTTTTATTCATTTTTTACCATTTTAATTGAAAACAATAACAGTAAGGTAGTTAATTGTTTCACAGAAATGATTTGATATTGAGATAAAAACGGCTGCATTGGTCCTTTAAGTGAGGCCTGTAGTGGTCCAAGTCAATTACTGTATATATGAATGGACAAAGCCATCGATCACGTGACACCATTCATGCCTATGTGAAGACTCGATAGGGCATTTGAAGCCCCCTAGTCGATTGACGCACCATTAACTCCCCATCAAAATCCGTCAGTTTAAGCTAGAGATATCTGTTTTTTTGCATTGGATGCGTCACCGCAGTCACCTATGTCGTACTTCCGCATCTGCGGTGAAAGGTGGCAGATGTGAACCATGAGACATTCCAAAAATCGGTCTTCTCACAAAAACATCTGAACGGTTTGACCTCTCTATGGAAAGGGGAGATTCTCTCGAACACGATGGTGCTCTCCAGTTTGCTCTACGACCCCCGCAAGTGTCAGGGGACTCGTCGTGAAGGTAACCAGTACTGTTTAAAAAAAAATAATGGAAGTATGAAGGTAGCTTCGTGTAGTTTCGTGCCTACCAAAAAAAGGGGTTAAATATGTGTAAAAAAAATAAAAACTACTAAAAGATAAAAATAAATAAATATATATATATTTCCTGACCTTTCTTATATCTCCTAGATATAGGACAGATACTTCTGTATTTTCTGCCATTTATGAATGTGTTATTCAATCCAGTTCTCTGTGCTATAGTAGTAAAGGCCAAATTCAATATTTTATCAAATCATTGTTTTATATATATATTTTTATACTTAAAGTGGTCCTAAAATTCACAATCAAATAGCTAAATGATCCATAGTATGACCATCTTAAAACAATTCCGTCTGTCAGCTTAGAAACCTCATGGTTACCCTGTCAATGTAGTGTTTTATTGGGGAGGGTAACAGGGGAGGTGTTTAAACAAGGTCTGGTAACAATCAGCCTAACCCTTAAGTGTGTGTGTGTGTGTGTGTGTGTGTGTGT